CTTATTTGGGAGGGGGTTATCTATTTCTGCTATTATTTTATTTTGTTTAGTCTGGATTCGTTGAATTTTTATATTTATTTATGATTTTATTGGTCCTTTAGTTGTGCATTGCCTTGTTGACTTTGCATTGTTTTGTGGATTTTAATATGATGCAAGCTACATGGTGGGCATGTCATGAGTGGAACCAGCTGGAGCTGGGGGTCAGACTAGATGACCCAGGAGGACTCTTCTGACTCACTCTGTTACTAGCCAGAGAACCTATGGCTAGTGGGGCAGAATATAAATTGAATGAATAATAAAATCTCACTACTGGGATCTAAGGAAGGTCAAATGGCAGCCCAGTCGGCTTTTGGGCATGAAATGGGGACTGAGGATGGCACTTCCCTTTGCTTCTGCCATACAACAGGTCGGCCAGGTTTAGCGATCTGTCACGGGTGACAACTAAGACCAGTGTGAAGCTGCAGCCCCTGCCTGAAGATATCCAGATGTTTAGGGTAGCAGCTCCCAGCATCCTTGATCCTGCTGCCTGAAGCCAGTGGGAATGGCCATCTGAAACATCCGGAGTGCTCTGGTTCCAGAGGGTGGCTTCATCATGTCAGGACTTGCACCCCAAAGCAGCAGTTCTCGTGCTTCCCAGCAGAATTGCCAAGTGGTACAGGCAGGCCATGGAAAGAAGACGAGGGGGACAAACGCTGCAGGTGTCTGTTCCAAAACTTCTCTCCACATCAGGCCTTTAAAAGGCCTGGGAGAAGCACGGCGGTGTTGAGCTTGCTTCTCATGGCCGTGTGGGAGGTCGTAATGCCATCGCCAGCTTTTCCCCTGACGGCGAGGACCGAATGCAGAAGAAATACCAGTCCAAACAATCAGCATCCGCTGCCCACAAATGCCTCGTAATCACAACATAGCACAGCAGTGGGATTTCCTGTTTCAAAAGTACAAGCCTTGGGTACAGAATTTGCCCCATTGTCCAAAGGGCCTGGTGTTATTTGAATCTATCTCTGCGGAAAGGTGTGCTTGGTCTCTTTGTTTGTTCCCGAATCCACTTCTAGCCTTTGTGCAATCAGATCTCAGAAACTCAAAAAGGCAGGCCAAAACGTTTGTGTGGAATGCAGTCACTCCCATCTTTCTATGTTTTTAGCTAATGTGTGAAGTTTCCACTTGGACAGTGGCTGCTGTACGGCATAAAGACTTTGAAAGCATACCCGTGGCCTGAAGGATAAAATTACTCCCGGCTAATTTCAGTTCTATTTGTGGGTTTCCCTGATGGAGAGAGATTACTCTTCACTGACTGAAACTGAAAATCAGAGTACTGCTGTAACAGGCATGGGTTTCCTTTCTCCACCCCACCAAAAGTACCGGCAAAGACAGAAGTGTGCATTCTAACAGTGGCCTTAGTTCATTCAAAAGCGCGTGAGGGCTCTCCCAAAAAGTTTCAGGAGCTCGTTATTACACTGCATTTATATCCCATCTTTTTTCCCCTCTTGTGAAGTACACAAAGGAGCTGTTGTTGTTGTTAGTTGCAAAGTCGCATCCAACCTATCACGACCCCATGGACAACAATCCACCAGGCCTTCCTGTCCTCCACCATCCCCTGGAGTCCACCTGAGCTCACACCCTCCTTCCCAGTGACTCCATCCTGCCACCTCATCCTCTGCCGTCCCCTTCTTCTCTTGCCCTCAATCGTTCCCAGCATCAGGCTCTTCTCCAGGGAGTCCTTCCTTCTCATTAGGTGGCCAAAGTATTTGAGTTTCATCTTCAGTATCTGGCCTTCTCAAGAGCAGTCAGGGTTGATCTCCTCTCGGACTGACCGGCTTGATTGCCTTGCGGTCCAAGGGACTCGCAGGAGTCTCCTCCAGCACCACAATTCAAAGGCCGCAATTCTTCGGTGCTCAGCCTTCCTTATGGTCCAGCTTTCACAGCCATACATTGCAAAAAGGGGCTGTACATAGTTCAATTTTATCCTCACATCAACCTGTGAGGTAGGTTAGACTGAGAGTGAGTGAGTTCAAAGTCTCCCAGAGAGCTTTGTGGCTGAGTAGAGATTCAAACTCAGATCCTCCACATCCCAATCCCACGCTCTAGCCTCCTGGCAGTGTTCACACTGTGGTATGCACCATCTGGCTTAGAAACATAGCAAGCCAGAAGGGGCCTCCCAAGCTATCTAGTCTGACCCCCGGCTCCAGCCTGCTCCACTCACAACATGCCCACCATGTGCATGTCTAGCCTATCCTTGAATAACCTCACCAATGGGGCCTCAACCACCTCCTGTGGAAGCCCACTCCACACCCTGGGGTCCTAACCATCAGGAAGTGCTTCCTGGCATCTAAATTCAACTTGGGTTCCCTGAGCTTGGCTCCATTGGAGCGCGTCCTGCCTTCCTCTGCAGGGGAGAACAGGTCTACCCACCTCCGTGTGACACCCCCTCACATACCTGCATGTCGCCAACAGATCCCCCTGAGTCTCCTCTTCTCCAGGCTGAAGAGACCCAGCTCCCTCATTCTCGCATATTCAAGCCATGAGCATTCGTTGCTGCATACTTCATCCAAGGTCAGCAAGGCTGAGTTGTTGCCATGCTTAACCACAGGTACAAGCCACATCAGTGGGTTTGGATGACACAACCAGCCACAGTGACATGCATTGCAAATTCAGCTGCAGTGAGCATCAAAAATGGTGCGAAACCGGTCTCTGATGGTTCACCACGCTTGCTACACTGAGGTGTGGCTCCGACATCAGTCATAGGATGAAACACTAGGGGAGGTGGGAAACCATCTGGAAATTAGGCAAAGACCACCTCCGTATCCAAACACACTGATCTGAATGGTAAAAGGAAATCAAAGGAACCCGTTTCCAAAAGAACAGGCTGAGTTGAGACAGAGTCCTGGACAGACACATCAAACTGAGTGGGGCTAACATTTTAGGAAGCATGTATAAATTTGTCCAACTTGATGTTTAGCCTAAATCTGTCTCCTCGAAGAATTCAACCCCATTGAGTTCAGTGGGACTTACTGTCAAGTAAATGGGTTAGGGTTTTAATTTTAATTACGCTGAGTGCTCCAGTTTAAAAGAGAAAACTCCAAGACACGTGACTTTGACCTTTACCAAAAAAAGGTCAGTGTTTGACAAATTCAGCATCTGTTGACCATAAGTTATCATCATTGCCATTATTAACTGGATGCTTAAAAATAAAATAACATAAATTTATATAGAGGATGGAATATAAATACTTTTTAATAGTAATAAAAATACAAAATTATAGAAGGCTTGGCAGGTCAAAGAATACTGATTTTTTTTAAAAGTAATTGTATGTAAATCAGACTTAGAATTAGCCTTTCTTGTAACTAATGCTAAGTCTTGCTTTTGGCTAAAATTATCTTCTTTTTCCACTGGAAGTGTGCTCTGCTAAGTTTTAAAAACTGGGATTATCTCTTAGCGGCAGAACTGGAAGCATATTCAGGGCTGGCCCAGTAGAAGGAAGCCTCCTGTACCAGCACTGTGTGAAAACAGACTTAACTGCTTCTATGAAATTGCATCACTATTCACACTTTCATGAAGACCGAGGAAGGTGTGGAGGTAGCCTGTTTTCTTCTGCTACCGGCAAGTTCTGGGATAGGAAACAAAGGGAAGATTTCTTGGACTCCTTTTATTTTCAGCTTTCCTCGATTTACCTGTATTGATCCGGGAGAAAGGAATACCCTGGAATATTGCACTTCGCTGCTTTTCCATTTATAGAAAAGATTCTAGATGACAGAGTACATTACCCTTAATGTAAATGAGGCATATTTGCTTAGCACAAGTCAGTAGATACACTCACTTGAAAGTTGAATTCAGTGAGCCTTCTGGGCAGGCCTGTATCCAGGAGACTCTCCATCCCGTGGTTAAAAGATAAATAAATTGCTTTCTGGGGTGCTGGCTGCCTCCACCTCTCCCACACCCACCCATATCTGCTTCTGCATTAGGAACAGCTTGGATCTGCATCCAGGCTTCCTACACAAGGCAGCACAGATAGTAAAACTCAAACGCAGACTGCATTGTGAAAATCCACACTTGCACGCTCGAAATGAAAAGTAAACGGAATTTGAGACTTGCTAGATTGCACAAGGGAGGGAAGAGAAGACCCAGGGCATCTCTTCCTAAGGGTCCGCAGATTCACCACTTTAGCCTCCAGGTGGGGTGGACAGGTGAGGCTGTCTGCAAACCGTCCCGTGGCCCTAGAGTGAACCACGACTCGCGATGCCTGCCGACTGGCTCGAAATTCCTCCAGGACCCTTGCAGGGCCCCGACCCTGTCTGTGTCTACTCGGAAAGTAGCCCCACCAAGTACAAGCGAGCGAGCTCCGAGTGGGCGCCCTCCGCTGGCTCCCAAGGCCCCGCAGGCCCCGCTTCTCCTTCAGCTTGCGGCAGCCGAGTCATCTCCAGTTCATGGCGGCCCCGTGAATAAACTCCCTCCAAGATGGCCCGCCCTTGTAAATTCCAGGCTGAGGCTTCCATGAGCGAGTTAATCCACCCGCGCTGGGTCTTCCTCGCGTCTTCAGCCTCCGACTATCCCAAGGAGCCCGGCTTTCCCAGATCGCGACGGCTTCCGTCCGGTCGCCTGCGCGCTGCTTCCAAGGAAACTTCTGGCGCGGCCGCGGCTGGGACCCGCTGGCCGTCGGCGCAGCGCCCTCCTCTTCCTCGGCGCAGGGGACCCGTTTGGGAAGAAACGCGCCGCGGCCAGAGCCCTCCCTCGGCCGGGAAGCAGCGCGCCTCGCCACGCTCCGCCGGCGCCTTCCACTCGCCCTGGAACTGCTGCCCTCTCCAAGCCCGGCGCCCGCAGGTCTCCGCGGCTTTGCAGCGCAACCCTTCGCCCTCTGCCGCGCTCCGGACGCGGCTCCTGCCTCCTCTGGTCCCTCCTACCCGAGAGGGACTTTCCTCTCCCTGCGAAACTGCGCGCCCGGGCGCGTTGCTTCAGCGGGACGCACGCTTTCCCGCAGCTTCTTCCCTGCCCTCCCTTCCGCTGCTCCCCGCCCCGCAGGTGCCGCATCCTCTCCCCGGGAGAAGGGTGTGTTGCTCCCAGCTGTTGCGTTACGGAGTGGGACGGGTCTCGCTGCCCGCCACCCCCGATACCGCGGCTATATAATACCCCTTTCCACGCAGGGCAGGACCCAGTCCGCCCGGCTCCGCACCCCGAGAGGGACACGCGCCAGCCCTCCCGGCTCCAGCCTCCCTCCGCTCGGTTCGCGCAGCAGCTGACCAAATGCTCCCGAAGGCGCAGGATCCGATGGACCTGGTCGAGCTGGTTCTGCGCCTGCAGGACCGCGCAGCGGTCGAGCAGGGGTACAGGTGCGGCAAGCGGGAAGGGCAGGCCGAGGCGAAGAGGCTGCGATGCTTGGTGATCTTCTGCCTCGTGCTCGAGCTGGCCTTGGCGTTCCCGGTGCTGTACCTGCTGCACAAGAGCGGCAGGTGCGCGCAGCTGCACCCCGGCGAGGTAAGGACCGGAGCAAACGCGAGGAGACGCGCCCTAGCAACCGCGGGCTGGCCAGGCTTCCCGCAGCTCGAGGAGTGGCCTCCCCGGCCGTCCCTGCTCGGAGATGCTGCGCTCCCCCCAACCCAGAATTGAACTGGGGTCCTTTAGTCGTGCATGCCTAGCCTACGTCTTGCCACTGAGCTGGGGACGGAAGAGGGAGAGAGATCCACGCGGAAGGGCTTGCGGAGAGGGGAGAGAGGGGCATCAGAGGGTGCCAGCTTGAACCTGGGTGGCAGGGAGGCTCTTGAAAACGTGTGTAATCGGGAGAAAGTCTCCATCTAGTCATTGCCCTTGTACCTTCTACGGCGTGTGCTTTGTAATAGCCATACCATTGTCATGGAATGGGATGGGAACAGCATCCTGCCTCGTTAGAAGAAGGGACAGAACTCTGAGGGACTCTGAGGGACAGTATTAGGAGAAGTTGCAGTCTTGCAACGAGATAAAAAGACATTTCGAAGCATTGCAGGTGTCACGACCTGTTGCCCACCAAAGGTGGCACTCATTCCTCTCCTGCGCTGACAGGTACCGAACGGCACAAGGTAATCTGATGCGCTGGATGCCTGAGCCAGGTTTTGAACTCAGCGTCTGGGTCTTGCAACTCAGTCCACCAAGTTCCGCTTGTTGCCAGGGCGCTAGAGCAGTGTTCTCCAACCCAGTGCCCTTTGGAGTTGTCGAACTACAACTCCCATTGCCCCCTGCCAGCATGGCCACATGCCCTGGGAAAGATGAGAGATAACCCAATTCCTCTAGAGGGCACTGGAACAGAGAAGATTGTGCTTGAAGTTAAAAATGCCTGTGCAGGACTAGAGATGGGTCCAGATGGTGTCCCATCTCTTCAGCTGACGTGCAATTCCTGGCCAGTGCAGACACATTCCTGAACTCGACTCAGGACCTGTTTCCCAAAGCACTTTGGGCTGAAGATGGGAAAAGAAAAGGCTCGTGGGTCAGGGGTGGGTGGGTTGCTTCCTCATCTGCTTTGGGAAGCCCAGGCAGTGGTGAAACTCGCAAAGAGCAGGTGCCTCAGTTCCAAGCAGGTAGCCCTGCGGATTCAGACCACAGGTGTGCACGCAGCCACCACACACCCAAGGAGCTGCAGGCTGTCGTGTGATGTCCCGTTGACTCAGATCTGCTCACGATTGGTACTGCGTGGGATGAAAGCGTGACAACCGCCACACTGGCCTTGAGCTAGAGAGCTTGATGGATGGACTGACTGACTGATTTATATCCTGCCTTTTTCCTACAAAGGGCTCAAGGCAGCTTACCTCATTCTCCTCCTCCATCTTTTCCCCACAACAACAACCCTGTGAGGTAGGCTGGGCTGAGAGTCTGTGACTGGCCCAGAGTCACCCAGTGGGCTCCGTGGCTGAGCGGGGACTAGAACCCGGATCGCCTGAGTCCCAGTCCCATGCTCTTCACCACTACACCACACTGCCTCTCAACACCGAATGTTGAGTCAGAAAGGGAAAGAGAGGGGCACTTGTCCCCAGACAGCTGAGACCGCCAGCTCAAGTTTTTCCACAGGTTTCTATTCCCAGTACCACAAAGAAACTGTTGATCACCAAGGTAGCAATGCCTTTCAAGACATTTCCTTTCCACCGTTTGCTTGTAAAGGCCAGAGCAAACCACTACCAAATTCTTTGCATTGCAACAGGGGCCATTCACAACATATGTTGATGCTTGGAAAGCCCCTTCTTTTCCTCCATGAATCTCACCCAAGATCTGTGAGGATTTCTGAACTTACTTCTGGCAGTAAAGTGAAATCCAAAAGGGTTCCAGGAGATGCTATTGTTCTTGTTCATTGGAATGCCCAAGAAAATTGATTCCAAGAACTCTAGCTACTTTCTAACCTGAGTCATACGAGGTAGGTATGACACTCAGTCGCCAAGACTCCCACGAACCTTGCCCTGCAACCTGATCCAGCAAATCAGAAATTTTCCATCTGAGGACCTGCAGTGAACTCCATGAGTGAGAATTCTCTGGTGCAGCAGGGATGGGCAAAGACACTCTCCTTGCTCCCTTGGAGATGGCCCACCTGTGATTCGGAGGGGACATTGCTCAGCATTCGGGTACCCCCTTAGTTCACTTCTCAATGGCCCTCCAAGGCGGTGACGGGGCCCCTTTGGGGCTCCCCCTCCCTCAGCTGGAAGCCGCTCCTGATCCTGCTTCTCTAGAACTTGTAGCAGGAAGGGCTTCTGTCATTCTCCCTCGCATCTTCTGTAAGAGGAATGAGGCCACACCTGTCCTGAAGAACGTTTTAGCAAGGGGACAATGCATCTCAAGCTGAACTCTCCTGCCCTGGGACGCATTTGTGCTACGGCTGGATATCAGCTCGCAAGTGCATTGTACTACTTATTGCTCCAGCCAGTTCTCCCCACCTAGTTTTCCCCAGAGAGCCATGCATCTATCTGCTAACAACTCTTTCCACTCTGCCGCCCAAAACCCCCACAGAGAATGTACAGAGAATAGTACAAGGAAGGATCGGGAGACCTTTCTGAATTTCCAGAGCAGTACTGAGATTTTTTTTTAAATGCTGGAAAACGACCGTTCCAGCGCTGACCATGCCACATTTCACATCGGTTTGCACCCTTTGCCTGTCAGGATTACAGATGAATCAGACTGCTGGGCCTCTTGTGTTTCTGGCCCTCCTAAACTGTGCACGGTTAATTGCAGGAGGCACTCATTAGTAAATCATTTCCCATGAGCAGAGGTCAGAGCAAGTGGGATTACTCATTAACTTACTTTCATTCAGAAGAAAGCCAAGATACAAACACAGGTGACGCCACAGCCACTCAGTCCTGCCAGCTGGGTCCCCGCCAGGTGGAAAGGGTGGGATATTGTAGGTGGTCTGCGTCTCGATTTCCTTTGTGTCATTGGTGGGGTTCAGACCGTAGTGCCTGTAAGGGTCTCTGTAGGTGCAAGAGACATACGCCCTGATCCAAATTATTCCCACGTGGATGGGGGCATAACTCATTGCTAGAACAGAAGCTCCAGGGAGAAGTGTTAACATGGGTGCAGCCACAGGAAAACATAAACCACGTGAGAGATTGTCTAATGAGTCATAAGGTTCTACTGAGTAAAAACGCTGTAGCAATCTTTTTCCCACCTGACGTCCTCCAGATCCCTAGACTGCAGCTTGCATCACGCCTGACCAATCGGTCATGCTGGTGGGAATGATGGGAGGAGTTGTGCTTCAGATCTTGACTTGTTGCCAGATCAGCTGCTTATTGTTGTATCTTCGGGAGGAAGCAGTGGAAGGAACAAAGCAAATTATTCAGGGAGAAGTGCTAAGGTGAACTTGGGGAAGCTTGCTTTTTGGGAAGGAAGGAAGGACAGAAGGACGGAAGGAAGGAAATTGTGAAAGAGAACATATTATTCCTATGAAGGCTTCCAAGTCCCAAGTGTCCTCTCTTTGAAGTAAGTCGCACTGACTTGCATGGAATTTACTTTCAAGCAAGTGCAGTAAATTATTCCACTGGGTTGCACAGAAAACCGGCAAGGGAGGCAGTGGGACCGCTGGGTGAGAACAGAGTTAAAGGAGTATTAAAGGTGGATAAGAAGCTTGTGAAGAAGCTGAATGAATTCATTCTATCTGGCTTCATTTGCAGAAGGGATCGGACAGGCCAATATTCGAGCCCAGGATGAGGTTTGCAAGTAGAGTGTCTGTGAAATCGAGGCAAAAGGTGGACACAACCTTACTGATGACTTGGGATTCAATTATTTATCAGACCCAGGTTATGTTCACCCTGGAGTTCTTAAAGGACTCAGGTGAGCAGCGGCTGATCAAACAAACCTCTGCAATATGTACCTAAGATCAGGCTCCCCTTTGGATGACAAGAGCATGGCCAGTTCAACACAGGCTTTTAAAAAGAAATCCAGGAAGCCGCAGGCTTGCTAGTCAGCGATACATCCCAGTGTCTCTTGCACATGATGCTGATAAACTCCTGATGGATCTCTGGTAAGGGTGCAGCTCTTTCACACATATGTTAGCATTATGAGGAATGAACTTGTACGATTGAGAGGAAGGAGCCCTCAATTCGGGAGCCAAAAAGAAAACTCTGGGAACGGTGATCTCCCATGCTGATGTCATCTGTTGTATCGAGATAATTGCTTTTGGCTTCGCAGATTAAACACTGGAGAGGGAGAGGGAAGGAAGTTGGGGCTGTATGTGTGCATGCATATGCTGAACTTTTGAAGTCTCTGCTTTGAAAGTCCTCCTACCCCCAGGTAGAGGGGCATAACCCAGAGCTGGGAGCAATGAAACAACTTAGGAGATGGCTTGCAGTGGAGATTTTATCTGCTTGTTTGTTTAAAACTTTTCTATACCATCCTCTTACCAAATAGTCTCTGGACAGGTTTACAATAAAGCACAGTAAAGCAGAGCATCGTTTCTGTACAGTAAAAGCCCAATTAAAATAGCAATTTAAACCTTAGTGGAGGATTACAGATGGAGAGAACTCCCAGTGGATGCAACAGAAACCTGGAGCGTGCCTACAATTGGGTATATTTTGAAGCTGTGAGGGTGGCAAAGAAGCAAGACCTCTTTCCAGTCCTCTCTTTGCCACCCAGTGGAGCATTTCATCTTTGTCTGCGAATTATTACGTTCTGGCCACGGGGACACCTGGAAGCCATCTTTGGCCCGCTGCAACCTACTCGCCTGGCACTTCCAGGAAAAATCTGCATCCGCCGGGACTTGGACTCCAGAGCTACAGCAGTGGAATTGGTGGAGCCCTCCTAAGGAGCCCATTCAAGTGTTGGCACAGAATCAAAAGATTAATTTTTGCCCAGGCCTTTTTGGTTTAAAAAAATGCTGTCATGGATTGGCTTGTGTTTGTTTTGGTTAAATAGGTCTTAAGCCACTTAAGTCTCTTTTTCTCAGCATTTCAATGGGTTTACGTTTGCATATGGTTGAAAGACCTGTCCTAGGATCCCCTTGGATGAATTTATACATTTTAAAAACAAATACAAAAAAGAATGCAAAAGCTTGACTGCTTTGGTGGAGTTTTTGTTGGTCCTGAAAAAAGCATCGCCCAAATGTAGATCCCAGATTGTTTTAAAGTGATGGATCACCATATTTGGTTTTGTTTTTAAGGAAATGAGATCCAGGGAGCAATCCTAGGTGAGTTTAGACAAAAAGAAGGCGTAAAACTCGCAGGATGCCCCAGCATGCTCCATCAGACTAAACGTTCATAGGCCTGGGCTTTCAGCTACTCATTGTACGTAAGAACATTGCAAGGGCCGTGCCTAATCAGAGCAGAGCTGTGCCAAATTCCTTTGGATGACTACCTGCTACTGTGCAAAAGCAAAGCGTCAGAAATCTAGACAGGAAAGCAAGCGCGTGCTCTGTGTACAGGTGTGACTTTCGGTCATATGCTGAAGAAAGAAATCTTGTGCTTTGCCAGGAAGCCCAGGATGGCTTCCTTTGGGGCAGTCTAGCTGCACCATGCAGATAACGGAATGGTGCAGTGTGTAGGGCTGTGGCTGAGCTGGCCTTTCGGCTGGCTTTTTGCTTGGATGTCTTGATAGTAATACAGTTGAGGGTGGCGGCCGGGCAGTCCACCCCCTTGTACCATTTTTGGTGGTAGGTAGATGTCTGCCTTTTAAGGCGAAGGTGGGCAACAAATGGTGCCAGCAGGTGTCTTCCCACTGTTTCTTAACTCCAACTCCCATCTTCCACAAGCATTGCCCATGCTTGATTGGGTTGATGAGGTTTACACATCTCTGGAGGACACCAGATAGCTTATCCCTGGTAGATACCACTAATGTCGATGGACCAAAAGTCAGAGTTATTAATTCATTGAAATCATTTTTATCCCATCTCATATCCTAAGCAGATCCCCAGGGGGCTTATAGAAGGAGTTAGTCCATGGCATTTCCGGAGGTTCTCAAGCTGAGAACATTCATATTCTCACATGTCATTTCTGAAATCTGTATATCTCCTTTGAATGGACTTCAAGGGTCAGTATCAAAGAATTAGCCTGGGTGGATTGTTTGGAGAAGCTTTGACTAGGCCAGGGGTCAATGCAATGTTCATAAATCCATACGAAATTCCTTTTACTGAGCCAGACTGTTGATCCTTCTTCTTCTTCAGTATCATCTATATTACGAGCTCTCAGCGTGTGTCCTGAGAAGGCATTGGCCAATAATCCCATCAACCCCATTGTACCTTGTGAAAGTTGCAGTTCAACATCTGGAGAGTCATATTTGGGAACCATTAGTCTCTGGAAACTGGCAGCAGTTCTGCAGGATGTCAGGGAAGGGACTGAAGGCCAGACCTTCTCCATGGAAAGCAGGTGCTCTCCTCTGTCAACAAATAATCCAGACTGGAGCACAGTGACTTGTTTTCTTCTGGTGCCAGTATGGAAACACAACGTCACTCTGGGGAACAATTTGCCAGGGAGGTTTGGCCCTGGTCTCCAGGGGTCATGGCCAGCCATGGCCTTCTAAAGCGGAGCAGAAATCTTCCTGAAGCTCTTCTTCTAGAAACATTCTCGAGATGTTTCTTCTCCTCACCCTGGAGAAACAGCTTTAGGCAGAAGTTCCTCTGAATATCCACCACCATCTGTTGACCTACTGATGGAGTGGGCTGACTGGCATTATCCCTGGAATGACTCTAGTTGGAGGATGGAGGATGCAGAATGGTAGCCATGAAAACAACACATATGCAGATGCAACTGGCAAGCAGGTGGCCCTTGGCAAGGAAGACAGAAGTCACTCCCATTCCTTGGACCAATCCAAGATGTTTTGTTGCCTCGCTTGGAGCCACACGTTTTCTGTTCAACTCTGCCTTTGATATGCTTAACATATCCAAGCTAGCCAAGTTATTCTGGCCAGAGAAGTCCCAAATGAACCAATGAACAATAATCAGTTCAGCCACTAACCATTTCTTACTCATTCACAGCCTGGTAGGTCTGGTCCCCAGCTCTGCTCATGGAGACCCCACCCAGAAGGTCTGGAGAAATGCAGTGAAGTGTCCTCCATGCCTTTGCCTAAACATAGGGCGGAGAATTTCGTAGACATTCTTTGTGTTCAAGCTCTGGTGTCCTCCATTCTGTAAGCTCGGCTGTCGAAATGATCGGCATGGATGAGAGAGAGACGATGGGACTTTTTTTGTCATTCTTTGGGCCCGTCAAACTAACAATGTCACAAGAAGCCTGAAGGCAACAGGCATGGTGGATTGTGCCTCTTCTGGCTCAAGTGAACTGCCTCTGCTTCTCTTGTCAGGTATCAAGCGGAAGAACTGCTGAAATTCAGCAATGGCCGGCCCAGTCAACGTACTCCAGCGGTCCTGGTGAGTTTGCTCTAATGACTGTGTCCTTCCATTTGAAGCCGGCTCTGAAACAAGAACCTGTCCTGGTAGTTCCTAGAAGGGGAAGAACAGAAGAGCCCAGGAAGAACCCTGCTGGGTCTGGCCAAGGGTCCATCTGGACCAGGCTCCTGTTCACACAGTGGCCAACCGGCTGTCCACAGGTCCCTCAAGCAGGATATGGTGCTTCAACAGCTTCCTGTTCATGTTCCCCAGCAACAGGGGCACATAGGTTGACTACCTCAGCTATGGGAAGTAGCCACCATGCGAAGTAGCCATACCAAGACTGGCAACCATGGATAGCCTTCTCCTCCCCTTTGAAAGCCATCCAACGTGTTGGCCATCAAGCCGTCGCATGTGCCATTTAACTATTCTTTTGAGCTGCCCTGAATCTCCCACGAATCACTCAGGGTTCTAACATGAAGGGAAAGGGAGATCAGTGTCGGCCTATCCCCTTTCTCTACCCCATGTGTAATTCTGCCCACCTCTGCCATGTGACCTTTTGGCTAAGCAAAGCCACCTCAGCTGTTGTCACCTGACCTCATGGAGTGTTGCTCCAGCCCCTTATTTATTTATTTATTTATTTATTTATTTATTTATTAAAACATTTTTATGCCGCCCCATTCGCCAAAGCCTCGGGGCGGCTTGATCACTTTAGCCTTGATCACTTTAGAAGAGCAGAATGAGACACAACCTGTCCTCCCATGGAACGACAGCTCAGCAAGCTGCCTTCTTGAATTCTTAGCAAGAGCAGGGGGAAAGGCAGGATATAAACATGTCACAATCATCGTCGAAACTGGAATGCATTCTGGGCCATAAAAAAGGCACTCATTTCCCAGCAAATATTACAGCAAGACCTCTGAGAAAACTGGAATTATATTTCACGACTGGCTTTAATAACATAAGGTTCAACAGAGGACGTTCTAAAGTAGATAACAAGTTTAGAGGGTCAGTCCAGTTTGGTGCTGGAAGTCCAGGCAGAAGGTATATCAGGTGGAGTGGGGGCATCTTCCTTTGCAGACACAGACCCAGATTCCTTGTGTAACATGTACAGCTTGGAGTTTTCTGGTTGCAAGAGTCTTAGGAAGCATGACAAGGCCAGGCAGAAAGTGCTTGGCTAAGGAAAAGTATTGTAGATGAGGAAGTAGGATTTTTCTACCTCCGTGAGGTAGGTTAGGTTGAGAGGGAATGCCTGGCTCAGCGTCACCAGGTGAGCTTCATGGCCAAGTGGGGGGTAGAAGCTGGATCTCCCAGCTCTCCAGTCCAGTACCCTCACCCCGAAGCCACAAAGACACTTTACCCTTCCTTTTGGCCATGATGGGCGGAAAAGTCCAACCATGGTGCATTGCTATGGCTGCCCTGCCGTCGACATTTGGCTTCATAGAAGCTGAAGCCCACGTAGGTTCAAAGAGGACAAGGCCCAAGACCATCCTGCATTGGCTCGTGAGAGAGCGTGGCCTCACGCTACTTAAGGGCAGTGGCAGCCGTAAGAGTACAAACGGCCTCTCAAAATTCTCTGCCACTTGGTGGACAAAAAATGGAAATGACACTGGGAATGGGGGAACATGAGACGGATTTTCTCCAAGAGAAGACGACATTCTTCAGCAGTGTCACTGGAGGTTAGGGTGGAGCAGAACCATCTTTCCGAGACAGCTGGCCTTCCCTACAATGCCCTGGGCTTAATGTTTTTCTGGGGTATTGTAGAAAAGGGACGGATGACAGCTACTCCCAAAAAATGGTAGAAAATATCTGGAGAGAAGTCCACAAAGCAACCCTCTTACTCAGGGTGGTGGAAGCAAAGCAGAACCCCTGACCTTTTCTCTTAAGGGAAAACTCTTCTGGAGAAGGCCTTGATGCTGGGAAAAATTGATGGCATATGGATAAGGGATGACAGAGGTTGAGGTGGCTGGGTGGACTCACTGGGGCAGTGGGTGTGGGCTTGGGTGGACTCTAAGGGATGGTGGAGGACAGGAGAGCCTGGAGGAATGTTGTCCATGAGGTCATGATGGGTCAGACACAATTTTGCAGCTAAACAACAGCAACAAAAGCTCTTCTGAGAAACATTGACTCAACTGTAGCAGGCCTAACTGGTAAGTAGCTAAATGTCACATCAAATTTATCAGCCCATGTCTCTGATGTCCTTTTCCACCCTGGCCATGCAATCATCATGCTCTTGCCAAAGACTTGCGATACATTTGTCTCCTTTCAATAATTAATTTCATGTGGGAAAGCAGCCACACAAAGCCAAAGTCTTTTTTTAAAGCAGGGTGGGAGTTATCTAGAAGTATCTGTTGAAACTTCTGTCTCAAAGTTTAGACAGAGGCTAGACAAGAAGAGGCAGTGGAGGAATTCCAAGTTTTACTGTTTAACTGTTTACCCATCTCTAGCACATAGTTCTGTATCTCTGCAGCTCCCTGGGATGTGCTTTTCTATCTCAGCACCCTAAGTATTGAACTTGGGACATGAGGTACTCCACTCACAACCTTCCCCATATCAGGAAGCTGCATATATTCAGCCCGCTAGTGGTTCCTCTGTCTTTTATCCTTCCAATCTCCTAAAGAACCCAGGACAAACCATGAGAGAAACCCACCAGCCAACCAACTAACCCACCCACCCCACCTTTTCTGACATGGATAGTTTCATGTTTGAAGGCATTCTGTTATTCTAGTTATCACGTCTGGTAAGTGTTAGAGCCATACGAATTATCATCACGTTGTTGGAAGAGATTTTATGGCAATGGCTTGGAAACACCATTTCAAAAATGAAACTCCCGCTGTGTGTTTTATTTATGTATTTAAAACTTTTATATGCGATCCCCTCATGCCTTGGCATCTTGGTTCACAAGTAGTTCAGCAAGAGTTGTGGACAGGCCTGGAGAAGAGCAAACGCACGGGAATGGTTCTGAAAACGCAACACCCTGCCTCTGGCTTAATTCTGCAGCCCACCATTGTATGCCTGCTACGCACTGAGAACCACTGCGCTACTCCAGGCAGTGTGTTGCTCTCTGCTCTGAGTAGCTCTGCGGTGAGTTAGCCTTTCTCGAGCAGAGCCACAATGCCTCGGAAGACATTCTTATGAGACGAGGGAGAGAGTGTCTATTTCTTCCCACTATCCTGGCTGCCACTTTGCACATTTTTCCCAAATTGGCTTCCACCCTGTCTTGCGGGATGGTCGGCATCCCCTTCCCCTTCCCCCAAATGCCATGGAATGACCCTCAGGGCCAAAAGAAGGTGGAACTCAACACACATTCCCTCCAAAAAATGCATTCTTAAAATTAAGCAGCGACCATTCATCTAGCAATATAGATGGCCTTAACTCCCAATTAAAAGCAGATCTGAACAGCCAGGGCTTTGAAACCCATTTGAAAGCAACTGGATGAGAGGAGCAGATTCTCGTCCCATATGAAAGAGGTTCATGGAAAGGGAGCTTCCAGAAAGACGACAGCGGAGAACCCTGCGTGATCAGCTGAGGACAGGGAGCCCTTGAAGGACACATAAAATAGAAAAGCTTTGTGTAAACAAATAACGTGAAATTGTTATGATCTGGTATTAAAATTGTCCCTGGTTAGGAGCAGGAGAAAGTGATGGGAAGAAAGGCAGGTTTCACAGTACACTTCCGTTTATAGCAAATGTAAACCTGTGGAAGGATTAGAGGTACATTGTTGTGGGAAAGACTCATGTGCTGGTTCCCCACTATAAACCCGTTTGCAAAGATACGAATTATCTTGCGGCTCAGGATCTAAACAGGACAGTGAGGAGGTAGGACAAAACATGGGAGGGAGTTGACTGACCTCACATCCTGCGTTCTGCATCTGTGAGCCAAGTTACCACTCTCTTCCACTGTGTTTTGCAACATTAAGCAAACAAATAATAAACATCCCAGATGAAACATTTGGTCTGGAAGCCAATGCGATGGGGAACTGTGGATCTATCTACTTGGTGAACTCCCTGGGTCCAGTGGCTCTCAAGCCCACTGAAGTGGGTGTTGGAATGCGGCACGTGACTCTTTCTCTCTTTAATTTGTAGGTCCAGAAAAAAGGCCAAGGGTCCACCTTACATGTAAGTGTATAGGTACATGCGTGCATCTTGTCTGTTCTCTCAAGGAGCGCCTGCATCCATATGCGCCTACCCAGCCTTCGAGATCTATGCAGGAGACCCTCCTCTGTGCGCCATCCCTTAAGGAGGGGAGAGGGACGCCCCCTAGGAGCGGGGCCTTTTCTGCAGTGGCACACCATACTTGGCATGCTCTCCCCAAGGAGTTCTGCGTGGCGCCTTCCTTATATTCTTTTCCCCACCAGGCAAAGACCTTCCTCTTTCAAAGACTTCTTAATTGTTAATGCCACTCAACATTCTGTTTTGTATATTTGCCCGTATTATATTGACATTATATTTCAATACGTTGTGGTTAGTTTTTATTGCGTTTTATCTTGTGACTGTGAGCCACCAGCAGTTCTGTGGCACCATTTATTTATTTATTTAAAACATTTTTATGCCGCCCCCATCGCAACAAAGCCTCGGGACGGTTCACAACAAAAACAAAATACATAAAATACAAAATACAAAATACATAAATACATACAATTGGGTGGCCTACACATGTTTTGAATATATAATAATAAATGAATAATAAATATGGGTGCCGATAGTCTCCTGTACCTTTCCAAAAGATGCCCCTCCAGGGACTGGAGATGGTGGAACTGTCGGAGGTAAAGGAGCCCTCAGATGGCCTGTAGAGGACAATCCTAAAGAAGAACCTGCCTGGAAAATTCCGCGGAGGCGACTTTGGTCTTTCTGGAAATTTCCGCGGCTCTTTAGCTAGACAGGACTTCCTGTTCACTAAATATAAAATGTCTGCTTCAGAAGATGCTAAGGGAAAACATGCTGCCACCATGGAAAGGCCGTTTCCCCAGTAGCTAAGTCCTAACGGTGGGCCAAGGAGCAGAACTGCTAATGCCGGTTAGGGAGGTCTGTTTGGGCTCAGGTGGAAGTTTGATGTTGATGCGTGTATACAATGGAGGAAGCACTCCATAAGGTCATCTGGGGTTGACTGTACCACGGGTGAAAAAGACCACTAGCTTCTTTGGAAGTTCTCAGCATCATCGAGCGCAGGCCAACTAAATAGACTTGCTTTCTCTTTTCAGGCTCTGACGAAAAAATAAATGAAGAGTGTGAGACAGACAGGTTTCCAAGCCTTCACTGGAGAAATGAAAAATCATCCGACAGTAACCAAATTAATCACAACGGCACTTATTTGATAGCCCCGGTGACAGGAGACTACTTTGTCTATGCTCAGGTCACCTTCCTGTGCAGTGACGGGGTGTGTGAAGCCCTGAGATACTGCAACAAGTCACTTTCGAGTGAAACCGAGGTGCAGCAGTTGATCACGAAAATCAGTCCACGCTACGGCAGTCGCTCAAAGACGATCCTGAAAGCCGTCAGTTCCATCGGCGAGAAGAATAAATGGAAGAAGACGCTTTACCTGGGTGGGATCGTTTCACTAAGGGAAGGTGACCACATAATGGTTAATGTTAGTAACTCGGAATTGGTGGATGGACGCACACCAGAAAAAACTTTCTTTGGGGCTTTCTTGATCTAACTACTGATAAGAAATCAGAAATGTCTGCTAGATACAAACCGATTTTTTTCATTATCCTGCCTGGTGTAAATTTTGTGATTGTGGATGCTTCCAGAACAATTCTCATTCAAGTTTTTTTCTTCTGTATGGGAAATTCCAACTTAGCTGGTCTTCTCACAGTGGATTTATTGCTGGATGCTACAGGGCAGTTTAGCCCAATTCAGTGTCTTCCAAGTGTGCTGGACTTCAAACCTCATGGTCCCCAGCCACCAGGGCTTATGGGTTTGTGGTCCATCAGACCTTCTGTGTGTCAGGTTGGGGAAGGGTCTTGTGGGAGGGATTGCAATTCTTTCCATTCTCGTACGTTTGTATCTCTTGAACACTAAATTAATAGTGAATGTTTTGAGTTGATCGTGCCAATGTCTGTATCGAAAGACTTCTAGAGGGCTTGTTGCAGGATTGCTAGTGCATGTAGACACCTGGAAAAACACACAGGTGTGTGTGCACTAACACAGAATTAACTTTTAGAGTGGCAGCGTACCAAATGAATTCAAGAGATGGGGAATGCAAACTGCAGCAAGCCAGAGGTCCTTAACGGAGCAAACAATGGGAAACATAGGCTACCCTGGTTCGTGGCTACTGCCTAAATGATGTTGCAGAACAGGCGCCTGCCTGCCTGCCAGCCAGCCAGCCACTCTCTTTTCCAGGGCGCTCCATTCCATGTCCACCCATCCTGCCACCCCTTGCCCAGTTTTCTGAGCTAATTGTTTCATGCCTATGACACATGTTGAGTTTTCATCAGGTTGTGATAGATCTTTCCACTCCTCCCTGTAGGCTTCCTACAGAACCTCACATACGGCATACCTGGGCCAGGTGAGATCTCTCTTTTAACCAAAGGTGGAGATGCTCCGACCCCCAGGAGGGACACCCCTGCCCAGGGAGTCAAGGCTCATGAAAAGAACAGGAGCACATCCAAATGTCTCTTCCAAATTTCTCCCATTGTTGAGAAGTTCCAAATGAGCCTTTCTTGTTTCTGGAGTCGAAGCAAAGTTGGGCCATGTTCACAAAGGAAACGATAAAGAGGGAGAGACAATAGTTAAATTGGATTATTACGGAGAAGCTTCTGAGCATGGAGGCTTGTTGTGTGGAGTTTGTTGTATGTGGTTGCTTTGCTTTCAGTTTTTGTAAGCCATCCCGAGACTTTACTATTGGACGGCATATAAACACTTTAAATAAAATAAGCAAATAACATAAATAAACATTCTTTGCCTGGCAGGGCAAGAGGCAGCAGGGGTGATTCTGCCTTCCGTGCCTACTCTCAGAAATAAACGCTCTCGCTCATTTAAAACAGAGCCTTAAAATTTAAACAGGTGAAAAGCTCACCGCTTCCAGCACATTTTGTCCAATATACTCAATTTTTCTGGTATAGGATGATGACCTTACTGGACATGAGCAATGAGCAGGGAAGGTGGAGGAGAAGTTATAGGATTTCACAGATGGTACCCACAAAAAGGGAACTCAGAAACAAGAACATCTCTTTTTGATTTCATAAGTTCCAGATATCCATATTCCAGATGGATACGCTTAACTTTCTATGGCTAAGGATGGTGGAAGAAAGTATTTGCTAGCATATTGAGGCCAAACTCCTAACCCAATACCTGAACTGGAACACTGTTATATCTTCATATTTGCACATTTCTGGATTTTGTAATGCAGTCCTCCAATTTATTTATTTATTTATTCAGGGGGAAATGTGTATCACTGGGGAAAGTGTACTCGAAGTGTGTATCTCAGCAGCACTGATGCACTAAAATTCACGGTTAGTGAAAAATGCTTTCAAAAATCCATATATTATGAAATAGTGCATGCATTTGAGGAAGCAGACATGAAAATGCATGTACTTTTTCCATGGACTTTTAAAAAAAATGCAACGTAATGCAAAATTGGGATGGAACAGACATTAAACTGGAAAACTGAGAAGTGGAGAAAGCTGGAACTTGCAGATTCATTCATCCCTATCAATAGATCCTTAGCAATAGCTCAGGAGCTGTTTCTCATTTCCCCTTGCCTCATTTTATTCTGGCTCAGTGCAGAGAAATCCAACAAGACTCATCAGTGTAACATAGAGATGAAAAATCCATGTATTGTGCTATGTATCAGTTTTGCACGTACACACTCGTGACTACAATCTGTCCACTTTCCACATCTGCTCCAGATTTTACTCACACGAATATTTTGAATGACCTTTTCCTAACAAGGCATTTGTAGGCCTTTTTCTTGAATGGATGTATTTTTCTATGCAACTTTCCCTAATATGTTCCTTTTTCATAGGCATTTTTGGACCAAAATCTGCATTGCAAAATTCAGAGAACTTTATCTGAAGGATAACTATGCTTCCCCCATTGCTAATCTCAGCTAGAAATCTAGAAATAGCTAGCTACTCATCTAGCTATTATAATCTAGCTAGAATGCAGAACCTTAAGAGAACAGAAATGGCACAATTAAGTACTGTTTTCCAGTGTGGAATGAATCAAGTTATGGAAACATCTTGGATAATATAAAATTACATCACCGCCTGTCCCCCTTCCTCAGGCTGCAGTCCAAGACCCCTAGACTTGACTCTTCCCTACTGGTGGGGTTATTTTTCTGAGATTTGCTGCTGGCTTTTCTAAGATCTGCTCAGTTCTTCCCAGTCAGCTCTGCTCCCTTATTTCCCATTCTTGGAACGCCAGCATCCTCCATTGCTGCAGACTCTTCAGGGAGGTCCAAAAGGGCCATTTTCTAGGAAGTGTATTCCTATTTCACTCCGAAGGTTATTTAGAAGTGCATAATAATTAAGTTCTTTCTTGTTGTATGGATGGGAATTAAGGATGCATTGGGGTTGTTTGCTGTCTGTTAGGGTTCCCTTCACGGAACACTTCTGCATCAGCTCCATCTGTTGCAAAACTTGGGGAACCCCCCTCTCTCTCCCCACTTCCCCACATACCTCTCCCCCTATTTCTGTGGGTTTAGTGATGTTAAGCCAAGAACCTTCCTCGAGCCCCAGGTTCCCTCCCCTTGTTTTACGTAGAAGAGCGCAATGTACAGCAATGCATATTTTCCATATGTGAGACCCTTAGTCTGTCTTTGTTTAAGGGGGAAATGGTTGAAGTATTTTAATAAATATAAATATATATTAAAACTATATTAAATAAATAATTTATCTCCTTTGACTGTGCGGAGTTGTTTCTTCCTCCTCTGAACAAACTCACACAGGTCTGCCCATGAGGCAGAACAAGAGACATGCTGGAACGGGAACGTGGCGTCAAAAGGATGTACTCTTTTCGCACATATAGGTACTGAATTCACCCTGAAATAAAATGCCTGTGTTGATCAGACAGCTGTGGGGATGTTGTAGTGATCTCATGTGGCAGGTGATGTCATTCGTGGGTGCCTTGCAGATGAAAGCCCTCCAAGATGTCCTATCCATGACAGCTCCATTCAGCTCTTCCCAAGTTCAAGGCTGTGACATCCTTTATGGATGAGATACATCAAAGCTAGGACAAACAGCCAGAGTTCCAAAGTAAATAACAGCCTGCCAACATAATCATTCTAAAATTCTAAACAAGCAAAGCCCAGACTATCCAATTTTGTCTGGAAGCATATTTCAGGGATTCCATGCATAAATCCCATCCCGCGAGAGACAGTGAACACTGCTGTTTGGCTCCTCTCCCAAGTATGAAGAAAGCTGAGGAATCCAGTCATGCACAACATTTTTGTGGTTAAATATAACATTTTGAAAAAGAAAACCAGGATTCTTCCATGTGACAAAAATGAATTTCCAATGAAATTTGTCAAAGATCCTTAAGTGTCGAAAGAAGCTATAAGAGCCTGCTCTGTTCTATCCAAGTTGAAGGGAGACAACCTGGGAAATATCTGCAACCCTCCACACTTGAAGGTTTATGGAGGTCAACGGGAGCATGTAGATGAAAGCTGCCTCCCTACTCCTCTTGCTTTGCCATCTAAGCGTAGCACCCTGGAAAGGGTGGGAAAGAATCTAAGTTCCACTAGAATATGTCCTGTCTTGGAACTGTCTTCTTCCCTCCCTGACCCTGAAGCTCTCTCCTTCCTCCTTGCCCAAGGGTCTTCTTCCAAACTCAGTTCTTTCTGCACTGAATGCAAAGCAGAAAGGGAGAGTCAAGTGTGGATTCTCAGCTATGAAGCTGGAGCAATTTTCCAACATGGTAGTTCTGAAATCATAGTTATGCTCCCTGGAGAATATCAAAAGCAGAAGGAGAAAAGGAGGACCAAATATGGGATGGATGGACTCCATCAAGGAAGCCTCAGCCTTGAATTCACAAAAACTGAGCAAGGCAGTCATGGAGGGGATATTTCAGAGAGCTTTCATGTATTGAGTCACTGTAAGTCAGAACTGACTTGATGGCAAAAGAACAATAATAGATGTGAAACTGAAAATCACATTGAATTACACTGCAAAGCTATCAAATCCACAACCGATTATTAACCCTCCTGGTTTGGCCAAAAGAGTTCCATAATCACATTCCACTGCACTCCATTGGCCAAGAGTACAGTCTGCTTTTTAATGTCCACATTAACTAGCAAAATGGGTCAATCATTGGCTCACGATTTTATGTTGAAGAAAGGGAATCCAATTAAAAATCATGATTATAAAGATGATACAGTTTTGAATTCAGGCCTTTGAGTTGTGGTGCTGGAGGAGACTCCTGCAAGTCCCTTGGACCGCAAGGAGATCAAACCAGTCAGTCTTAGAGGAGATCAACCCTGACTGCTCTTTAGAAGGCTAGATACTGAAGATGAAGCTCAAATACTCTGGCCACCTAATGAGAAGGAAGGACTCACTGGAGAAGAGCCTGATGCTGGGAACAATTGAGGGCAAAAGAAGAAGGGGATGGCAGAGGATGAGGTGGTTGGATGGAGTCACTGAAGCAGTTGGTGTGAGCTTGAGTGGACTCTGAGGGATGGTGGAGGACTGGAATCCCTGGAGGAATGTTGTCCATGGGGTCGCAATGGGTAGGGTACAACTTTGTGACTAAACAACAACAGTTTTGGAACAAAGAGGCTGGGCAATGTTTTATTCCACCTAGTTAGAAACCTATCCAGACCAATTGATCTCCCGGTGTCCATTTTTGTAATCAAGTTCCAAATTTCCTTGATGCATAAAGAGACTAGGAGAAATGGCTGTTGTGAGGAATCTAAGCATGGAAGATGAACATGGGAAAAGAAACCATCTATATCCTGCCCCAGTGTTTCCCAAGAGCCATACAATGTTGTTCGGAGACTTCATAAGACCCTACATAACCACGACAGTGTGCTTATCCCAGGCTCTCCATCCTCACTACCTGAAAAACTTTGGAAAGGCCTGGACTCATGGAAGGACAGTCTACACAGGAAAGATCTACGACATTGCCCAACATTATTTCTGATCACGAGGCCTCTCTGCTTAAGGCTCGCAATGTTTGTGGGAGCTTCTGCCAAATGAACTGGCCTTCACTCTGGACTTAAACCAGCAGGATTTGGATAACTAAAAAGCTACATATGTTGGTACATAGAGAACAGGCAGGGTTGGAATGCAATTCCATACTTGTCTGAAGAAAGTGCAGGAATGCAACACAGGGGTGTGCCAGATGCTGTATGAACTGAAGAACTTGGGCGTTCTTGGTAAAAACATCTGATGGAATTGAATTTCCAAGTAAGAAACATAAGATTCCCATCAGAGAAGGCATGACATTCCTATCTGGTAACAACCTGGCAAAAACAAGATGACTGCAGAACACACAGAGTGTATAACAAAGATACAACCTCAAAAAATAGACCGGTTATTTTGTCTGACATACCAGCCAAGTTTCTGCTGAAGCCATGCCTTTTGATGGCCCGTTTGCAAATGAATTCCAACTTGGTCACTCATCTGCAAGAAACATGTCAGAATTTCGCTTTCCAGGAACAAGTACCACCAGAACCATCGCAAGAATGAACATCTCATTAAAGAGGACAATATCTCACTAGCCAGTTCATGGCGATGGCATTTACACACAACTTGCATACAGTAATACTTCTGTAGCTGATGCTAATCATGTGAGTCCACGATCACAAGAGGAAACCCTGATTAGTACAGTGGGTGGGGAATGACCAGAACAACAACTTGAGAATCTGAAGTTAGTCTGGCAACGAGCAAAGGAACAAGGCATGTCCTGGCTTTGATCCATGTCAAACAGGAAATTTTTGGTGATCTTCAAACTGGAAACACTGTGCAAAAATAAGGCTGTTGTTTTTTAATGCCCTCAAAAGGGATCTCTGGAAGGGAAATCTGATCCAGTTTGGTCCAGCTTTAGGTTGCACTGCCTTGTTAATTAATGAGGAGGGTGATGGAAAAATTCCAGATCATAACGTGTGTGTGTGAGAGAGAGAGAGCATGCACAGATCTTAATTTTTATCCCACTTTTCTTCCAAACCGCTCAGGATGGCTTAAGTGCCCATCCTCACCCCAAGTTATCTTCACAATGTTCCTGTGAGGTAGGCTAGCCTGACATGCATACCGGGGAGGGGGAATTGAAGGAGGGCAAGGATGATCCAGGGACAAAGCTCTTTGAGAAGAGATTGAAACAACTGGGCATGTACAGCCTTGAGAAGAGAAGACTGGGGGGAGATAGGACAGCCTTTTTCAAATACTTGAAAACAGGAGTAAAGGTGAATCCAAATCTAGATAGATGATGGATGAATGGATGGATTTGGTACTGGTACGGAAACCAATTCCTGGCTAAGCATTCCTTAACTCCATATATCCTGTGCCTTAACTCTGCTCCTTGGTGGAAGTTGGGGTATGAAGTAGATTCCTAGCATCTTCCCACCCCGAACCTCGCATTTCCGTCTCTGGGCATTTCAGCATCGCCAGAAGCCTTCTTTCCTGGTAGGGTCCCACCAGCTCAGACCCTCTCATGGAGTACAGAGAATCAGAACTTCAGACCAAATGCTCTTGCCTGTCTTTCTGCATCCTTCTTTCTTTTCCAGTGGTGCCTCATGGCTTTCTCTTCTGTGACCTTTAAGAAGCCACACTTGTTCATCAAAATATTGTTGGTTGCTTAGGCAGCTGAGCAAATGTTCTGGCTGTAAAGGAAGTCTCATCTTGGAGACTGGCCACCATGGGTCATGAAAAATTCAAGGGAAGGCTGCCTTGGGCAAGAAATGGTGGCTGACGAGGAATTTCATTGGGATAAACACTCCCTTAGGAATATTTTTTTTCTCTCAGCAATGTAAAGTGTCATACCTAAATAGAAATGAAATAACAGCTCGTTAAGATGTAAAACTGAATCATGCTCGAGGACAATTCACCCTGGCCTCCCCCATCTAACCCCACTTTCCTTTTTCCCCTACAAGGAGATTAGAAGCTTCTAATTTGGGTATGGATTAAGTGACCTTCCTTGAACCCTAGACCTCTCCTTTTTGAGTCAAGTGTTGGGAGATGCCTAGAGCCTTGATCTCACCAAACAGAATCCCGGTCAACAGCCTTAGAAAGCTGCATTATAAGAGGAGTTCACTGAACCCATAACCAATGTGCCAAGTTGTTGGAATTTCACTGCAAGCGGGTCAAATCTGATATCCTTTCTCCTCTCAGCCTTTGGGCATTGGCTTCTCCTGTTTGCTTGCAGACCACACGGTATTTTCCTTGTGCTTCTTCCAGCCTCGCTAGCCAAGATGCCACATCCGGAGGTTGGGCAGCAACCTCCAGATTGTTGTACATGGCCTTACTGGAGGAGGGAGCAAAAGCAGGCAAACACAAGGCAATCGGGGACAGGTCTGAACCAGTGCAAACAATGTCAGGCTTTGGTGTCCTTTAATATGTGCTGAGTTCAACACACCCCAATGGTGCCTGCATGGGCAATCCCTGTGTTTTGTTTCTGATAAAAGATTTCTCCAATCTCTCTCTCTCTCTCTCTCTCTCACACACACACACACACACCTTGCTGGGAGATGGAGCATTTTGACATGAGGATTAGATTTCAATTGCTCCCGGTTTCACCTACCTCCCACTTGATCCAGCTTTATAGGAGTTAAGGCTACAATCCGATACCCATCTCACCCCTAGAAGTAAGTCCCAGTGAACTCACTGGGGCATCCAACTGAGTAGCTCTGCACAGATTGCTCTGCAAATCTCTTAACTGCTTGGGATACACTTTTTCCCTCTTACACTTAACGTACAAGAATATTGTGTCTTTCAGGAAATATGTCAGAGTTAGAATAGCAGTCGTTTCTGGGTGGAGATTGGAGCGCCCAACAACTAAAGAATGGAGAAATGGACGGGTGGAGTACACTGTTTAGAAGATTGTTAGAGGAAGGTGCAGCAAGAGAAGTGGACCTGAGGTGTTTAGAAAAGATCGGGAAAGCTGCAGAGGATCTGAAGTGATTGGAGGATGTGTTGTTGTATGCATTAATTACTTCCTTTGACAGTTCACACTGTCATGGAGTGTTGAAAGAGAGGAAGATCGATAGATTTCGGGAGCTGATTGTATAAGCTGGATCTATTTTAGCTTGCTCTGTTTATTATAGTTGTTTTGTTTTCAAAAAAGAAAAAGGCATAAAAGCAAAACAATATTAAGGTACAGTGCAGTCTTTTATATCCTCTTCCTCCTTTGGATTCCATTTCTTTTCACTGGAAAATGTACTGACTTTGTCCGCAGGAAGAAGCAGGGTACACATCCCTCGCAAAATGTATTTCCCCAGGAGAGACTGGGAAAACAGCTCCCGGGACCAGGGGAAAGCTGACCCAGGCAGAAAGTTCTCTGAGTTTGATCCTCCAGGAGTTCAGGGTTGTGATCCAAACTCCAATCTCTTCCGGGCACATGAGCAAAGGTACTAGTTCTACCTGTGCCTTTGCCTGCATCTTTCTCCTTCCCCAAAATGAGGTGCGGTTTTTGCTCGCAAGGAAGAGTGAGAAGGGTAGCTGGAAGCTGCACCGTCTTCCTGAACTGAACGGGATGTGGCACATCCAGTCACATGCCTCCCTCAGTTCTGCATGCAAGACCTGAAGAAGCAGCCCAGCTCTTCCCTAAATATCTGTGCTAACAGCCTCACAGCCTCTTGAGGCTGCAGCTCTCAAAAAAACACCGAAAAGATGCCTTCTCCAACCTGCTGCAGCAAGTATTTTCAACTCAGATCCGAGCATCACCAACCATTGGCCATGCTAGCTGGGGATGATGGGGATTATCATTCCAAACATCTGGAAGGTACCATGTTGGGAAAAGTATCCTAACCTTCTCTCAACCTAAGAAGCTATACATGCTTTCCATGCAAAGCCTTTATAAAAGACACCATGCAGATAACGCTGCTTCTTCCTGAGATAAGGGTTTAGGACCTGGTGGGAGCAATTTTCTTACCAGATTCCTGGGTGTCATCCCAGTGTCCCCTTCTGTCTTTGCATTTCTGGGTGATGCTGTGCAAGTCCACGGCTCCCTGTTCTTTCAAAGAGGTCTCAGAAGTTCCATACAGAGCCATTCCACCTTGGCTTGTACCCATGGCAAGAAAAGATTCCTGGGTACCTTCCTTTTTGGCCTCCAAGATGTTAACTGCTGTAGAATATTCTGAGTCCTGGACAGAGTCTCAAATCTGACTCTGTTTTCTCTTTTCACCATTTTAGAACTGGCTTTCTCTGCCTGCTTACATGCTAGACTGTAATTTCCAGCCTAGTTGGCCAAGATGCCACCTCCTTGTTTGCTTTTCTTGCTATGAATGAGCGAGGATTTCTGGAGCTCTGCAAGCTTGTTCCCTAAACAGTTCCCTGAGCTAAAACTACCAGTTTTGTCTTCCAGCCACCGCATTCTTTAGCCACTGCAGAACTCATGGCTCAACAGGACTGAAAAAAAGAACGGGGGTGTTCTTTAGCTGGAGGAGTAGACAACCAGCTAAATATGAGCCAGCAATGTGATGCAGCCCCAGAAAAGTCATAGAGGGAGGAATCACTTCCAGAAAAAGAGAAGGATTCTTTCCCCTCTGCTTTGCAATAGTCAGAGCTCACCTGCAATACAGCATTCAGGTTTGGGCACCCAAGTTTTAAAAGGATGTTGATAATCCGGAGAGGGTTCAGAGGAGGGCAACAAAGATGCTACAGGGCCTGAAAAATAAGTCTTATGAAGAGAGGCTGAGAGAACCGGGCCTTTTCAGCCTTGGGAAAAGAAGAGTATAAGGTGAAATGATAGCAGTCTACAGGTATCCCAGAGGCTGTCACAAAGAGAAAGGAAAAGAGCTTTTCCCACTTAGCACTGAGAGTAGAAGACAGAACAATGAACTTTTACATAATTGAATTACTGGATGCTGTGTCATTGTATCTGTTGCTTGTTGTAAACCGTCTTCCGAGGCACTGTGGCTCTGCTCAAGAAAGGCTACGTCACCGCAGAGCTACTCAGAGTAGAGAGCAACTCTGAGAGCAACTCTGAGTATTCCACTGGAATAGTGCAGTGGTTCTCAGCTGGTGTCATCATGGTCAAGGATTCTGGGAGTTGTAGTCCAGAGTGCTAGATTGCATATCCCCATCATGAACTCAAGCATCTGGAAGGCTTCTCAAGGACTATTCTGCCCAGTTGCCTTCCAATACAGGTAATCCAGTTCAGCATATGGTTATCCATCCTCTGCTCAAAAGCAGGTAATGAGCGAGAGTCTGCTACTGCCTGAGCCCGTTATTAAATAGACACCATCCCTATATCCAACAACAGGGACTTGAAATTGGCTTCCAGGGGGCTAAAGTTCACTTACAAACTGGCATTCTCATTTGAGTGCCCAAGAAAAATTACCCTTACCTGCCAGCACTAAATATCTCACTAATTACTTATCAAAGGCTGCCCAGAGTTTCAACGGAAAGAGGAAATAACACAGACCTGAGCCTCAAAGGAGGCAGCAGGGCAGAACGTTTCCCTTAAGGAGGGGAAAACAGGGCCAAACAGAAACTTGCCAGGTTGGCATAGACAAATTACTTCCTTTCTGGGGCTTTTCCATACCCAAAAGCTGAGCCCACACAGGACACGTCTGGCAGGAGAAGGAGGAAGTAGTCCAGGGCGATTACCAAGAAGCAGACCAAAAACGCAGCAGATGCAAAGAAATCTCCATGGAGCGTGACTTCACAAGCAGGTCAAAACCTGCTTTGTAAGTCTTGGCTTCTGAGGAGGGCTTGTTTATTTAAAATGTAGTGCGAGTTTCTCCAGGCAGCACTCTATAGTCCATCCCTTCTCCTGGCCTCTGGCACTGTAACTGCTCATCTGCGGAAGATGCATCTTTAGTGCACATGCATAAAATATGAAGTGCAAAAATACAGGGGGATTCTGGGTGGGACCACCATGAGCACAGGTACACAGCCTCTTGCAGCTCCCAGGGAGAGGGAGGAGCCCGGACGAGAAACAAACAGGAGAGCAGAAAGATCGGTTCCCTTTCCCAAATCAAAGCCGGCCTCTACTGCGAATGCATCTGCAAAGAGAATTGGCAAGAGGGAGAGAGACTAAGGTCAGGCAAGATGCATCTTGGGTTATGATCCCAAGACAACCTAGCTGAGGGGAAGTTCAGAATTACTCAACAAGCCCCCGTTGTGTGGCAAGCGAACTCCTTCCCCGTCAGCAACTGTGGTTCAAGAGACTCATGACCCAAGACAGATGTTGCCCGGGGAAGATGGCTGATGGCAGGAGGGTCCTCCACCCTGGGTCCAGAGTGAGTGTCCTGGAAAAGGAGTATATTCGGGTTGGGAGGATGAAATGGCATGCAGTTCCGTGAGTAAGTGAGAATTGCATTTGAATCTTCTAAAGATTTTGTCAATGTCACTGGCTACATAAAAAGAGCTCTTTTTCGTTCTGTTGAATTGTGATAAAGTGCGAGCTTTAAGGGGTGCTTAGGCATCCCTGATCTTACATGCCAATACTGTCAATGCTGAAAACCTCTTCAACCACGGGAGGAGAAAATGTGCCCCCTCTTGCCTCCCCTGGATCCTGGCTGGGTTTGCTATGAAACTAGATCTTGATGGAATCCCACAAGTATTTTCGAATCCCGCCCCATCATCCTTTCCTTCACTTGCTTCATGTGCTTCCGTGTACTGCGAATCTGGCAAGATTTGGGCCACACCAACACAGAGTCCTTTCATCTTGCAACTGACAGAATTTCCCCCCTGCTTGGGTCCTTTTTCCAAAGAATGGAGAAAAGTGGGGGACTTTGCTTTAGAAGGAAACCGAGGGGGGAAATTCCCACAGCACAGATTTAGCACTGTGGGAAGACATGGGAGAAAAGCAATCATTCCCAGCTATTTGCATTGCTACAGGAAGGAAGGATCGTGTGCAGAAGGCTTGAAATGTGCTGCTATTGTTGGACTTCCACTCCAATCCCTGGTGGCAACCCAGACTGCATGAGGAATGCTGAAGCGATCTGACGGTCCCCTTGTGGTACGCTGCTCGACGGAGATGACTGTGTGGTTCTCCAAGATGCTTTCTTGGGAGAAACCTCCTCAGTATTGGGTGGGTTGCTATCTTTAAGCAGAGCTTTGACTCCGCATGGGGAATAACCAATTGCCGGAGTGTTTCTTGCTGGGAGGGTGGAAGCCCTCTGATGCCAGCTCCTCGGGCACCCAGACGCAACTGGCTCAGGCTGGGGGTTCTCTTATCTTCGGCCGCACACAGTGCACCTTGCCCCATCTCAGCTTGCCACCAAGTAGCTCAGTCATTGTTGGAGTCACAACACACCCTTCCTCTTTGCCATGCACATGACCAGGTTCAGTTGCTGGGGCAACGCCCAGGAGGGAGGGATAGGCTGAGTGAACAGCAGGAGGAAACGCAGTAAATAAATCATCTGGTGGCAAAGAAAAAAGGGGAAGCGCACACACATAGGCAGAGGGAGAGGACGGAGAGAGAGCCCTTCCGAAGACTGGTGGAAATATGGTTTGAGTTATCATCAACGGTAAGTGAGAGCTTTGCCTAAAGTCCAGACAGTTTGGAGGACTAATTCATTGTCCTCTTTTTGTACCTCTGGGCTGAATTTCCCCAACATGGGGCTCTCCAGATGTTCCAGACTTCAGGACCCATCAGCTCCAGCCAGTATGGTCAAAATCAGGAATTCTGGGAGCTGATGGTCTAAGGAAAGCTTTTCTGGAACAGGCTTTCTTAAGCAGCTGTTTCCACAGCCTCGGAAGGTTCTGAACCCTTTTTTCCCGGTATGGAGGAAGGATTTGCTGAGTCACGGGCTGTTTGTACAGCTCTTGAAGGCATAGATTCCCTCCCAAACATAAGCTGGCAGATACTCCAAGCTTAAAATGTGTTTTCTTTGCCTAAGAAATGTTCACCTGCCCTTATTTTTGTTCAAGCAATGTGCTTTGGGACAGGAATTGCATCATCCTTGATTTCTGTACAAAGCAATCCAATCAGAAATGTCTAACAATAGCAAGAGCAAAACTATTAGCCCAGCCCTTAAATCTGATCCCCAAAAGGAAGGAAGTCAGAGCTAGCCAAGACTTAGTCTTTGCATGGAATGGTTGTGAGTGTTCTCAACACCCAATTCCTGGACTCAGAAGTCCTGAATGCCAGGCGGATATCTCCTGGACCAGGTTGCAATGGGCAGCTCTGGGAAATATATTAAAAATACGTCAGTTCTGAAAGCTGAGGTCCGCACACCTCTTTTTGAGTCTGCCTGGCCTTTCCCATAATTTCCTGCTTTCAGCGAGCCCCTTGGCTCGATACGGCTGGGACTAAACTGAGCAACTTCTGTGTGCAAAACTTCTACAGGCATTTTACCATTCAGCTACAGACCATCCCTGATAAGTTAACATTTCAGATCAGGCCTGGCTTGCGTGAAACAAGGGTGGTTCATACAGGCCAATGTCTTTTTAGCTACCCCATGCATACAGGTGACATGCACCTGGTTTACACAATTACCCTTGCTGGGCCACAGCTTCTGGGGATGGTTGAATTTGGCAGGGCTGGTTGACTGGCAAGGGTCGGAGCCATCCTGCAAGCTTAGAGCAAGCCATGGATTTCGGAGTGGGTGGAACATACCCACTCACCTTGAACAGCCCCTGGACAAAGGAGCAAGGCCAGTTAGATAGGTCACCTCCGGCACATGTGCAACAATCCACTGTGGCTTGTTCTCCGTCCATGGTCATGTGAACATGGTCAGGATGCCAGTCTAGCCGGAATGTCGACTCTGGTGGGCTGAACTGAAGCATGTGGGCATCAGAGTAGCATCTTCCCTTCCTGAACTTTGCATGGAACTTGGTGGCCAATCAAGGGCGTGATTCTGTCCCAACACGAGGAAGTATCTTGCGAATAAAAAGAAGCCACGCTTAACCTCAAACTGTTGAACTGAAAGTCGTTTGTTGGTGGTGCCATTCTCTGAAATTATCCTTTTTCAAATTATCCTCGGAATGTTGGAGTTCAGATTTACCTGAAACTGTTCCTAGGCAGTTTCCAGAGAAGAATGATTCCCCCTTCGAAACAGGGAGGGCTTTCTTGGAAGGAGGAGGAACAGGCAGTGTTTATTCGATGCTTTTCTTCCTTGCAAATAAACCTCCCAAACAGACAGGCAAGCAGGTGGGAATCACAGCTTTTTATTTCTGCCACAGGTTCCCAAGGAGTAACATAAGCAGCCACAGCCCCAAGAAGATTTAACACAACTTCAAGTAATACCAACCATGGTGGTTTCCCTTGCACTCACACTCTATTGGCCCCGGTCAGTGCGGCAGTGGGAATTCTAGCCCAGGCCACCCAGACAGTCCAATTAGGGATGGTTTTCTGGAATTCAGGCATTCTTGGCTCTCTTTTGAATGGAGACATAAGGATTTGAGTTATTTATTGTGCAGAAGAAATTAATGTGGACTACAGCTTCTATCATTGCTGAATCACTGTGATTCATGCAGCTATTAAAGGCATAGGAACTTTGAAAAATGGAACTGGGCAACTCCATCTGAATCCAAGCCCAACTCTATTTTCGATACTGGATTTCACCTGCTCCTATTTTTATCCATACAATGCTGATGGGAAGGAAGTAATTCAGACAGAATTTATTCTTGGATTGGTACAAAGCAGTCCAATCAGAAGTGTCTCAATATAACAAAAACAAAATGATTAGTCCTGGCATGGTACTCCGGAAATGAAGGATGCAAGGAGTAGGCAGAACTAGATCTTTGTATGGAAGGACTATTAGTGCCACCCACTTCTGGTCCCCAAATCCAGTTCTTTGGCTCAGAAACCTTCCATTCAAAATGTACACCTGCATTCACACAACAGGACACAGAACTCTTGGTGGCTACCACAATTTGCAAATGTTTGCTATGATCTACCCAACAGTCAATCAAATGGCTTCTGTGTTATCCTGGTTTCCAGCCTCCCAATGTTTGCATGTATCCCATCAGCCACCGTGCCTAACATGCAATCCCAAGGTGCATCGCTCCCTCCTTATGTCATTGTTCACTGGTTTGCATATAGAGGCTGGATGGCTGGAACGGCTCTTGTAGATGGCACTCTTTCCAGGGGAAAAAACCCCCATAAACTTAATGAATATTTGGTTGGAAAATGCCAGCTTCAAAAAAAATTAATCCAAGGCAAGAGGTCTGAGCACCCAGACAGAGTTCAGTTTTTCGAAAACCAAAGTCACTTGGAACCAACCATGACCTGAGAAGTCCATTGGCTTTTCTCATTGGGTCCTTCGTGCTTTTCCCCAAGCCAACGTTAACTGATTGGGATCAGCCATGCACTGTGGAGGTTTTCCTAGGAACCTGATCCAAGGAAGTGGGGACCAGCGCCACTTGCTTTTACACAGTGACGATTGGCCTCCCTGAAGCACACGGGGATCGGGCACGGGTCGGGGCTTTTCGGTGGAGCTGAGTGACGGTTGCTAACGGTGGTGTGTTGCTTATCTACAGCCTGCAGCTATGTGGCGGCAAAAATCCGGGACTGCTGCCACTGCTGTAAAGATGAGGGACAGCTGCAAGAACCTTCATGCCAACCAAAAGACACAGGTGCGTGCGATGGGAAAGTCACCACGAAGCATCTGATGAAGGACCATTCTATCCAGTGTCCTGTTATGCAGCGGGTGACCTCATGTTTTGGGAAAGTCCAACCAGGGCAGGAAGGGGAGGGACCTTGACCACTTTATCCTCACCCCATTCACCCCGCAGTTGGACTTTAGCAGATTATGGGTTCTGACCATGGAGACTCCATGGAGAACCATCCCCCAGCCTCTCCTCCTCCGTCAGTTGGTCTGAGTGCACAGACTAAGGTCCCACCCTCACCATTTCCTGTGGGAATAGTGACTGCAAGTTAGCTGTCCTTACATGCAGTATGCAGAGAAATTCTTCCCTGGGGCAGCCCTGAGGCCCCTGAAGGACACTGGATAATTCCAAACTTCAGGTCTTAGGAGAAAGGAAATTTTGCTCACTTTTCGCTGCACCATGCATAATTTTAGACACCTCTATTGTTTGTTTATCTGACAAGTTTTATATACCATTCACAGCTCTTGAACTTACTGTGTCTTGTCCTGAGTCAAAACACTGGTTCAACTACTCTAGGAATGATTACACCACCTTCCCCCAGCCTGGTGCCCTGCAGATGCTGTAGGACTACAATTCCTATCATTCCTGACCATGCTGGGGCAGGATCAAGCTGCCCAAACCCAGCCATTTGGTGTCAACTTGACTGAACAATGGAAAACCAGCTGCTTTTGCCCCCCATTCCTTCTTTCACCCACCAAGGAAGTACTAATTTATCTGCTGAAAGGACCAGGAATTAAATCTACACACTGGCTGAATCATTAATTAATTCCTGCTACATTATAATTAGAGCTGTCTAAGAGAAATAAGGCAGTTCTAGCTTAGTAGTATTGCTTTGGCCTTGCAGGAAGCAGGGCCTGGCTTCATTCCTGAGAAACTGTGGTCAAACGGATCAGGGAGCCAAAAATTTCTGCCCATGAAAATAGGAAGTTGAGTAGACGGGACAATTTCCTGTACTGAGCTGCTTAATGTATACCCTGCCTTTCCACTCATCAAGGCAGCTGCCAAAAATGACAAACAATTATACTCAAGACAATCCAGTTAGGAACACCCAATTAAACAGAAATCAAAGAGTTTGCACTGATTCAATGCAATGGCAGACCTGGTTGAGTGTAGAGTTTATTTATTTAAAATATTTATATGCTGTCCTAATTCGCAAAAAGCCTCAGGACGGCTTACAACATAAAGTAAGATATAACATAAATAAAATCCCAGGCCCACACTGGCTGCAATTAAAAACATAGAAAAAAACAATATTACAAGTTATTAAAGTGCCGCTGGAATAAAAAGGTCTTAACCTGGTGCCGAAAAGCAAATAACGACGGCACCAGGCGGACCTCTCTGGAGAGCGCATTCCACAGATGGGGCGCCACCGCAGAGAAAGCCCTCCTCCGGGACTTTGCTTCCTGATGTCTCTCCCGGAGGGCTCCCGGAGGAGGGCCTCTGCTGCCGATCTCAAGGGGCAGGAGGGCAAATATGGAAGAAGGCATTCCTTCAGGTATCCAGGTCCCAAGCCGTTAGGTGGGTGGGGACAGACTAAAGACCAGTAGTTCATCGGGGAAAAGGCCCAGATGTTGGACATTCTCAGGAACTGGGCCACGAACTGCAAGGACTACCCTAAAGGTGGAATCATTTCCTTGTGGTTTGGAAGGGAGAAGCAATCCATTTGGAACCAACCTAGTATTGCTAGGCTGCATTCCCTGAAAGGTAGTATTGTAGCTTTCCTTGTGTCCTTGGGATTCACTTCTGCAAAGCTTCCCTCCCTAAGCCAGCCTAGCTGGCCAGCTGTAACATCACATGTCACTTAGAAGGCCCCTTCCCTTCATCTGCCTGGGAGGACCAAGGATGACCAATTGTTTTCCCTCCTGCCTTTCTCATGCACTTTCAGAAGTAAGCAGTTGACGTGCCCCTCCCAGAATGGCAGAGTCATCCCAAGTATGTAACCTTCCAAAGCCGGAACGGCCCATCGGGACATGAGGATAAGAGCCCTCCTGGAGCCCAGCCTCCGTGATCGGTTGCTGAGCTTCTGCCAGGAGCCCAGCCAGCAACTGTTCTGCCTGAAGAAGCCAAGACACAAAACCTGGAGAAGAACCCTCTCTGCCATCATCACAGACTTTCATGAGGACAGATTTGCAAACTCCCCGCCGAGGGGAGCAGAATGTGTCTGAAGCTGCCTGTCTGTGATTGCCAGAGAAATAGGCCTTAAGATGATGAATCAGAAGAGAAAGCAAGCAGCTTTTCATTTATTAAAAGAGCTATGACATTTTAGTGGGTGATATTTTCTGGTCATTGTTTTCCTTTCCCCATCTGGAATTGTTTATGAACTGTGTTGAAGCAGCGCAAACATACGGGGTAAAAACGAAGGAGCAGACAGGGGAAGTGATCAGTCTTCCCACAAGCAGTTCATGCACGAGCTTGTAAACTTAAACATAGAAACAGAGCGAGTCAGAAGGGGTCTCCCGGGCCATCTAGTCTGACCTCCGGCTCCAGCCGGCTCCGCTCACGACATGCCCACCATGTGCATGTCCGGCTTATCTTTGAACACCCGCACCGATGGGGCCTCAACCACCTCCCTAGGAAGCCCATTCCACACCCTCGGGGTCCTGGCTGTCAGGAGGTGCTTCCTGGCACCCAAACGGAACCTTGGCTGGTAACTCTCAAGAGAGTCATGGTGACTCTCAGGGTGACTCTCGAGAGAACCGAGATAAAGTATGTCCAGGACCGGAATGGGAACGGTTGTGTGACAAGCAAGTGCTCCAGGAAAATGTAGCCGTGTCTCCTCGCCCTGTAGAGGACGTTTTCTTGCTCAGCCTTTGCTAATTCACGTCTGCTGGAGTTTTCTTCTGTAGTCTTCTGCACCCTGCCCCAGTTTATTCCATAACCACCAGCCCATTTTCTGGCTCTCTCTTGCAGCATTCTGTGAGCATGCTCAGCTGTCCTGGGCTGGTCTACTTTGCTTTTGTTCCCTTAGACTTTCCTTTCAGAGATCTGGGGTGCGTCTGCAGCTCACAGGCTTCCCTACCAGCATGCTGACGTTGCTGGCTCTCTCATTCTCCAGGGGCCCCATTTTGGCTACATCCCTCCCTGGACTCATTCCCTGATGCTTGCTGCTGCAGTGAGTGATTTCTCTTCCTGATATGTGAGGGTAGCACTCCTCCCACTAAAGAAGCACATTCTGCCCCTTCCTGCTGTTGGACCCTGAATGTAGGAGCAAGCCACTCAATAGCAGAACTTCATTTGGTCAATCTCCCATAAAAAAGACAGGAATGCAATCCTGTAGCACCACCAAGACAAACCCAACCGTATCAGGGAGAGCATGGCCCACGGTCTCACAAGACCCATCTATGATTTCTACCATACACAGAATATCCATAGTCCGGTGCATCCAAAAGAAGCTGGGGACCATTCATTGGTGGGGTGGAGGGCAGGACAGCAGAGGTGGAACCAAGAGGTCACAAGAGGTGGGAAAGTTTGTCATACAGCCACAACAAAAGGTTTTGTTTTGTTTTGTTTTGTTTTGTTTGCATTCACATTCTTCTCATTCAACAAGAACTCTTATTCCATTGAGAAGGGAGTCTAAGCTGATGAGTGAGGGAAGGATTCACACAGCAATGACGATGAAGGCGATGATGATGTTCAAAACAAGACATGATATTCTCAGAGCCACACAGATAAGCAGGCTGTGGAGCACCGGAACACGTTCTGAAAGCATTCAAATTTCAAAGCTTTTGTGTATCCCACCACAAGAAATCCATCTGAGCAGGTCTGCATGGAAGCGGCAGGTACAACATTCCAGATTAGGGCTCTCTAGTAAGAAGCAAGGGCTGGATGGTTTGGGAGAAAACACTGTCTTTGCACGCAATCCTAATAATGATGGGCATTTCCCTTGGAAAGTCAGTGGGGCCTTTTGCATAAAACACAAAGGCCCCCTTTGATACTAACAGGCAAGGTCCCTCATTCTCTCTTATGCATATTAAGCAATGCGCTCTCTCTCTCTCTCTCTCTCTCTCTCTCTCTCTCTCTCTCTCTCTCTCTCTCTCGTGCTCTCTCTCTCACACACACACACACCGCTATACTGAGCACTGCCATCATGATCATTAAATAAGAAATTATATTCTCGGAGCCATACAGACAAGCAGTCTTGGGAGCAAGCACACATCGGATCCAGTCCCAGAGCCCACCTGCCCCAACCCCAGACCAGTTATATGCTGCAAAGCATTGGCATAACCTGCTGAACATCCTCACCCCCTTCCATGGTTGAAGACCAGTTGATCACTGGACTTGCAGTCTTGCCGCTGTTTCCCCAACAAGCTCCGTGAGAAAGATGGGCAGGGCCTGCAGTGGCTCATAGGAGCATCAGCCCAGCCCAGACAACTCTGTCCCTTGCAGAGGGTGGGGGTCCTCCACTCTAACAGCCGGGGCTCAGGCACCCTTTGTGGCACCTTCCTTCTAAGGAGGGTACCTAGCTAGCACCGCCTGGTGCTCGGGCCCAGACAGGGCTCTTCCTGCTCCAGAGAAAGCCCTGGAACAGCAGGAGCACTCGACACATGCACGAGAGTTCACACACGTGATTCTGAAGCTTCTGCAGAACCAGGAGGATGAGAGCAGCAGCAGCTGACCAGTGAACAGACGCTGGTGAAAAACGGTCCTTCTAAAAGGCGCTGTGGGCAGGGGAGTGGCAAGAGTGAAGCAGGAGCTCCCAGTGCCCTCTAACTGGTGCTAGCACTGGCACAACCTAAGGGAATTCTCACTTGGGGCTGCACTAAGAATGCTCTGTCCCCGGGACTCCCATGGGAGCAAGCAATGCCCAACAACTCCATTGGATTATGGAGTTATAGAGAAAACAGATTCTCTAAGGATCTGTTTTCAACCCAGCCAGAACTTTGTTTTGGCTCCAGAAATAGATGAGTCAAAGAAAAAGTTCTGAATTCTTAAGCGTCTGAGAAGAGCAGGGCCTTGTCTGGATTTCTTCTGCAGCCAGGCTTATCAATCCTTTTGGTGCCAGATTTCCCATTAAAATCATGTCTCCTTCATGGTTTTGCAAGATGGAAGGCTTGACCCTTCCAGTAAACACAATGGAGAAAGAGCTGGGGGAAAATCTTGAACCTCTTCAAGAACTTGTAGTCAAAGAGAGTTCTTTGTCCAGGACCCTGGAGAGCTGCCACTGTCGTGTGTGCTGGATACGTTAGTGGTCTGACAGAAAGAAGCGTATCTCTGGAAATTTGCTGACCATTCATATTCCTCCAAGATCACCATTCTCCTGTCTCTGTCAGTTGATCTTCTCCACTTCGGACAATTCTGTCGAGCTGCAGGTGCTGTTCCACCTGACTCCAGGCATTTCACTTTGAATCAAGACTCTTGCTTACCCAGCACCACCTTTTCCACAAATTGGCAGAGACAGGGTGCCCGACCGAGTGCGATGTGCCGCCCTGTGGCGATGCTTGGGAGCTGGCCACTGACCAGCAGCCGGATGTAATAGCCACTGTAGATTGTCAACAGCTGCTCCGCCATTGCCTGAAAGAAGTCCAAGCATGAACACTCGTTGAGGGCCTCCAACCCGTGGAGACCAGTTTGTTTCCCAATACCTATCCACTCAAACTCCAGATCTGCCCAGTTTTGGTTCTGGAGGTGTGCCACCTTCCCCGGCATTTGGTTCTGGAGGCATTCCAACCTTTAGAAGAGGCGTGCAACCTTTCCAGCCTCGGGGTCCACGTGGGCTGCTGACTTGGGATCCTCTGGTTTCCTTCCTGCAGCAACCCACAGCCCTGTTCCTTGGACAGCCCACAAGAATTTGGACCCGGTGTTGGGGGGCACATGGCTTTCTACAGCAACGAACTCAGCTGCGCACATCCCAACCGTTCTCATACAGGGCAGTGGGACGCACGCTCTGGGGAAGGGGAAGGGAAGGTTTCTCCATGGAGAAGCTTTGCCAGTGAGGTCAGGTCATTCACATTGTCCACCCTTGAGGGGCACACTTGACCTTGAGTGAGGAGTCTGTGAAAGCCTCCAAAAATGCATGCGCATGACAAAGAGGAGCCTGAATTGCCTTCCTGTAGACAAAGGGCCAACACTGTGAAATGCCCCCCCCCACTGTCACCAGGGCCACACCCATGTCCTACAATGCCAGGATCAGGCATGGACCCACCAGCAAACTTGTTCTCCTCCATCTTCAAGGAACTAAAACAAGATGGGAAACTTGTAGAGCTTAGGCCAAACTCCAGAAGCCTTCTGGATCCACTTTGTTTAGACTGCTGACCAGAATGGTCTTTCCTTTTCCCAGACGCCCACTCAGTGGGAGGAAAAGCGGGGGGGGGGGGGAGAGCCAGGTGCTCCCATCCAATTCTGGCTGGCACTGCGTAGACTCTCACAGGTGAGCCCTGAGGAACTGGTGCTTTTTGCAGAGGAAAATCCCCTACTCCATGCTACATACTTTTAAAAATGATACCAAATCTTGCAGAATCAGAAAAGGCAGGGCTGGGAATCCAGGTTCCCCTTCCAGCCACCTTGAAGCAGAAGTTCTGGGTCCTTGTAACAACAACAAAGATTCATTTAAACCCGTCACTGATATTTGGAGCTCTTACAACGCAAGCATTGCAACAAGCTTTCCAAAGTCAAAAATCATTCTGGGTGATAAGAAAGCATGATAAAAAATTGAAATAGGGTGGGTGGGGAAAAAAATGCACGCCACATGAGGACTTTTGGCAAGATTTTCTGCCAGACATTCCACCCAGAAGACTACTCCTTGCTAAAATAAATGCAGCGGTCTTAGTGGAATGATGCCGAAAAACGAAGAACAGCCCCACACAGCCCTGAGAAATGTCACGTCTACTACTTCCCCTGGATTGCTGTCCTGTTCCATGCTTTAGCAATGCTGGAGGGCAGAGGATCAACGGTGGCATTAAATGTGTTGATCCATGACATGTCTGTCATTTGTTCTGTGGGGTGCATGCAGCTAGCATTTCCCAGTTGTGCTTGGAAATGTCACAGGAGATGCCTCATGGGCTTAAGGTCAACAGATGGAACTTTTCTGGGAACAGAAGGAAGTCCAGACACCCACCCAAACCTCAGACATCTCAGTCAGAGCAAAAGCAGTTTCCTTGCAAACTCGGAATAAACTCCCACCAAGAGCTGCTTGCCTCTGGAGGTCCTTCTGGAAGAAGATGCAGGAAGTCCTGAAATGTCACTGCATTCCGACTGCTCTTCCGTCTCTCTGACAGCAGCGGAGATTCCTCCACAGAGCTTTCTGGCTTCTCTTCCAGACCTGGAAGGATTGTGGTCTCGATCACAATGCGGAGTTCATCCAGACGGCGCTTCAGAGCCAACTGAAAAGGAGAGTGGGAAACGATAGCGCTCTAACACACACGAGGGGACCAGGCAATGACGCCAACCCTACTTGGTAAGCATTTTCATTTGGTGCCCTAAGCACCCTCAGGCATGTGCAAAGTATATCGAGAAAAGACAAGAGGGCATTCGCACAGTGCAGAATGGGTGTTCTCGCCAGACTGGGTAGTGTCGCTCCACCCGTTGGCCAGCTACTCACAATCCTCTGCAGCTGCAGAGAGCAGAAGTAAGTGGATCTGACCACGGGGGTCCAGCAGGCCAAAGGCCAGGGCTAGTGCTGAGAATCACGCCCAATTTCTGGACGGCAGACAGGACTATCTGCCCCAATACTGACCCAGAACCAGCAAGGCTGCAGCAGCATTTCATGGGATCCTATGGAGCAAAGGGCTCTGGCGCAGCTTCCTACACCCAGCGTTTGGGCAGCGTTCCCCCCGTCGAGCGCGCCCACAATGGCACCTGTCTCCCCTCCCAGCACACCTGCTTCAAATTTTTGTGATTAAAAAAAAAATTTACAGAACGGATTAACCTTATTTGCATTGAACCTTATGAGGAAATTCGCTTTGGTGTACAATTGTTTTGGACTACAAGCATGTTTCCAGAATGAATTATGCTTGCAATCCAAGGTTTTACTGTAAATCCGTTCCATAATGGCTAAGCAAATAAACACATGAAAGTTTCAGATTAAGAAGCCATGCATAACAGAGCGTTAGTTATTTTGGAGATTAAGCACAGAGCAAGGGACCACTTAAAAAGGGAGCTGAGTGCTGGATTAACTGGATAATTATTCCTCTTCCATTGGGGGATTTTCTTGCAATTCTTTGCAGCAATGGTGCAACTGAATCAGAAAAAATGAGATGGATGTTTGCAATCAAAAGATGCATCTCTGCAAACGATTTGTATGCTTGGCTGTGAGAACATGTACAAAGCTCTTTTACCCAACAGTTGAATTCCATCTCAGCAAAGTGCTTGGAGACCACATACCAGTTGGAGGTTGGGAATGCAGGCCAAGAGGGAAGCAGAATCCAATCAAAAGGGAGCAGAGTCCAAAAAGCCAGCATTTTGCAGCTTAATGTTCTTACCACCAGAAAACGCCATGGAAACACGCTGCCTTGCAAACTTACAAGGTGTCGCATACAGATACTTAAAAGCGTTTTTCTTCTAAACCTTCCATGAAACTGAAACTAAACCAGCTCTCTGCAAGCCCCTTGTGTGACAAACCACTGAGCTGTTAATTGTTTTTGTCCTGTCACGTTGTCCACACCCATGGGTTTTAGCAGAGCATGTTTGGGTTTGGGAAGCCACAAAAAGAAACAACAGCCTGTTCTACAGATTCTTGGTACTGCAGTGGCTGGCTGGGATGTCTGAATTCAGAAAACAAAACCATCGTGGTCAGAAGGGTGGCCCAGAGAGTCCCCTGGCAAGGAGCTCCAGTGACAGCTGCCATTTCATGCAGTGGAGGCATGCCTGCTGTGCCCGCATATTCTTCGCGGCATGGAATCAGAGAAGAGTCGAGTTGGAAGGGGCCATGAAGGGCATCCAGTCCAACCCCCTGCTGTTGCAGGACACCACATCACCCCATCCCACTCAGAGGGCTGCCCAGGTTCTTCTTGAATGCCTCCAGTGTGGGAGAGCCCCCCACCTCTCCAGGCAGCTGGTCCCACTGCCGTATTGCTCTGACAGCGAGGAAGCTTTTCCTGATGTCCAGCCTGAATCTGGGTCGTCGCAACTTGAACTGATTGCTCTGTGTCCTACACCCTGGCATCAGCAAGAAGAGATCTTGACCTCCCTCTCTGTGACAGCCTTTGGAGTACTTCTAGAGGGAGCTCATGTCTCCACTTGGTCTTGTCTTCTCTCAGTCTCTGCTCACAGGACGTTTCCAGACCCTGGATCGTTTTTGTTGTCCCTTTTTTTTTGGAGGAGCAGGCAAACTGCTGACTGGTGCTGAGACAGGAGCAGGGCTCAGCTGCTTCCACCACTTCCCCAGTCGTGCCATAGTGGGAGGGCGGAGGATCAGCTGGGAACTGTGCTACTCCCTGACTCCCCCAGCACCCCTCACAGGGTGAGCGAGAGAAGAAGGAATCAGGTGTGCAGTCACGCCTGCTTGGGACTGCACCACTCTGTTGATTATCCAGAGATCGGCACCCCACAATTGCTTATTGCTATGTGCGAACGCAGCCCCGATGCTTTCTTTCGCTTCCTCTTCCCGGCTCCTTTTCACACCTCTGCTACAGCTGTTCTTGTGCTGTCGCTGTTGGGTGCCATCAAGTCATCTCCAGCTTATGGAGACCCGATGAACAAATGTTCACCACAATGTCCTGTCTTTGGCAGTCCTGCTCTTGCAGACTCCAGGCTGTTGAGTCCATCCATTTCATCACTGGTCTTCTTCTTCTGTCTTCGACTTCTCTCCTAGCCTGATTGTCTGCTCCAGCTCTCAAAATTAATGTTACCTACCACAAAAAGGCCTGCCCACCTTTTGGAATGGAAGAAAGCTGAGCAAAACCTGGAGAACCACCCATTCTCTGTGGTCAGAGAATGAGCCATCTTGGGAAGCTTGGAAGGTCCTACAGTGTCTCCAGGTGGGGTGGATTTGTCCTGCCAAGCTGAGGTTCCATTCCCTGTTTATATCAACACAATTTCAATATCTTTGCTAGGTTCTTGAGGTCACCTACTGCTCCTTACAGACTTTTTGCCTTAAAGCTTACCTCCTGGTTCCTCTTCATTTCTGCCACAGCATCTGTCAAGGAGTGAAGGCATGGTCCCACATCGAAGTGAACAAACCAGAGCTGCAGAAATTGGAAGAAAAGTGTAAGACCCCATTCCCCTGTGGTAGAGTCCCACAGGACTGTTCAGATTATGTTCTGACCCTACGATCAGGGTTTCTCAGAGAGAGTCAAGAACATCAGAAGTTAAGTCTGAACATTGACACAGAACCCTCTGGAATCTTGAATGAGAACCACACATTACATATGACTGTAAAATCAAGGCAACATCAGACATCGGAAAGTAGGTTCAATTGGGCTTCAGGACCTTCTCTTTGTTGGTGCTCTCCAGACTCATCCTCCCTCCTTACCAGCAGCCCACCAGTGTTCACTGTGCAAAGCATGCAGGGCTGTAGTGATGGTCCCAAACCACTGAGCTTCATGGTCGTGTGCAGACTGGATCCAGATATTCAGCGTTCCGGCCTTGGGTTCCAATCGCTAGCCATGACCCACCACATGAACTAGATTGGGTTGCAGTTGATCAAAAGCCGAATCTGAGTCAGCCACGCTATGAGACTGAAAGGAAGGCACATGCAGCTTCGGGTTGCCTCAACTGAGTATCGTTTTCCAAATGGCAGGAATTAATAGTCCCCATAGCTGTGCTGATCAAACCTCACTGCAACATCCATTTCTGGAGACCAAAGTTTAAGACCGAAACAGGAATGAACTCAGAGAAGTGCAATGAAGATGAGAAAGGAACTAGGAGCAAATCCTTAGAAAGAGAGATGGGAGGTACTTGCAAGGTTTAGATTTGAGATAGAGAGCCTGAGAGGAATCTAATGGCACGTTTCAAGTACCTAAAGGGTTGTCACACAACTGTTGTTTACTAAGATGGCAGGACGTGAAATACTGGGTGTTAGTTACAGGAAGGCAGATTTTGGCTGAGCTGACAGTCAGAGACAATGGAAATAACTACTCAGAAGGCTCTGAGGTTTCCATCGGTCGAGGCCTTCAAGCAGACACCGGGCAGGCCTCTGTCAGAGATGCTTCGAACATAGCGCAGGGTTGGATTTGATGGCTGAAACGTACCCTTCCGATTTTGCGATACTATACTCCTAACTCCTCATGCATTGGGAGAGGCATGGAAAACCCCACAAATGAAAACTGTTTCTGAATGACTCAAAATATGGAACATTGTTTAATTAAACAACTCCACTTATTTTCCGAGAAGTTATTTGAGACATCAAGTGTCTTGTTTATATGATTTGTTTTTGTTTATACATTTGGGGAAACAGTTTTTGAGGGTAATCAGATGCCTTACTCCTTCTCATAATTAGGATTCAAGGCTCTCCATCCCCGGCAGTATTCCAACAGACCGTGGACGGCTATCATTCAGAGATGCTTTAAACCAAATGCCTGCGCTGAGCAGGAGGCTGGACATGAAGGCCATCAAGTTGTTTCCAACTCATGGTGACTCTGTGAATGTTTTCCCTGCAAGGTGTCCTGTCCTTGGCACCCCTTAAGGTGCACCTTTCTTCTTCAGGAATAATGGCCACGTCCGCAGAAGAGAATGGTGATGCAGGGAGAGAAGCTACCAGGCAACAGAGGTAGTCGAAGGTGAGGCTGGTGAAAGATCTTTCACAGGCATCAGCAGTGACACTCAAGCTACCTCTAGCAAAGACAAAGGTAAAGGCAATGGTTACTCTCACATAACCCCAGTCCTCTATCAGCTCCACTGCCTTCCCATTGAAGTCTGGGCTCAATTCAAGGTGCTGGTTATCACCGATAAAGCCCTTAACGGCTTGGGACCTGGATAGCTAAAGGAACATCTTCTTCCGTATTTGCCCTCCTGCCCCCTGAGATCGGCAGCAGAGGCCCTCCTCCAGGAACCCTCCGTGAAAGACATTAGGAGGCAAAGTACCTGGAGGAGGGCCTTCTCTGTGGTGGCGCCCCATCTGCGGAATGCGCTCCCCAGAGAGGTCCGCCTGGCGCTGTCATTATTTGTTTTCTGGAGCCAGGCTAAGACCTTTTTTTATTTCAACTATATTTTAATAACTCTTAATTTCATCTATAGGTTTTAATTTGCAGCCAGGGTGAATCTGGATTTTATTTGTATTATATTTATTTATTTTATATGAGCTGTCCCGAGGCTATGCGAGGGGACGGCATACAAACATTCTAAATAAATAAATAAACAAACCACTGCTTAATATTCTGACCTTGTAAGCCCTAGCCTGAAGCAATCCAAAATGGCCTTCCAATGACACCATGATCCTGATCCTAATTCTTGCATTCGTGGCCGCCTAAATATGCCTAGCAATTAACTCACATATGCCAACTATTTCAGAATGACTCACAAGTATGGGGCATTGCTTAAAGAAGACAAATTATGTCCTGAGGAGCCATTTTAAACAGTCTGTTGAGTTTTGGAACGCTAACTTGATGGAAAGCTACAGCCATTTTTCTTCCCTGAATCATGATTCTCTGAGCTCTGGAAAACGCTCACGTGCATTTCAAGAGACAGGAGCTGAGGCATGTGGTGATACTTGAAAGCATTCTTGCTGACATCGGCTCTTCCTAACTTGCAGTGAACTGCACATAATTCTGTTCTATTCTCACTTTATTTTTCTATTCTTACTTGGCTCCTTCCTACTCTATGTTTCTAAGAGGAATGCACACAAAAAGTATGAACAGATTTAACTTTTAAAACCATCTCAGAGTTCAGGACTCCCCAAACTTAAAACTGGAAAAGGAGACACCGCGTACTAGAATTCATGGACATTGCAAGATTGCTTTATTCTTAGATTCTGGACTGCAAAGAGTGACTTCCTGTTTTACCACTTAAACTGACTGTCTTTTATGGAATTCCTAAGTTACGCAAGATGCAATGGAGAAGTTAGAACAAGACAAGTCTGTGCTCTGATTATTTTCCTGATTGCACACTCTGGTTTGCAGAGCTCCAATTCCTTCTCTAAGGAACACTTGAGAAGTTGCCATCATGCTGTGGAGAACAAAGCCAAGGAAGGCAGGACCTCACTGACTCTGCTGCGAAGCAGCCTCCATGGGATGCTTCTCACCAACCTGGCATCAGCCATTCCATCTGGCTCTAGCAACAGGAAGAAGCTCAGTCATGCCACGATTAAGCTAAAAGAGGCTTCTTTTCTCCTTGAGCTATGCATTCCAACTGATTGGTATACAAATGGTTTAAAGCAAACCAGATGCTGAGTTTGCATTCTTTCCCTCTCCCCTTCCATTGCCTTTCCTTTTTCTGGCATATTTTAGATTGTAAGCCTGCAAGCAGATTTTGTCTCATGATTTGACCTTGCAGGCTGCTCTGGGAGCTGTTTTTGGCTGCCAAGGGGAGCAACACCCATTTCAACAAATTTTGATTCTAGATATGTTTAGATAGAAAAAAGTCTCCAGCCAGTTTGCTGTGAGTTGCAGGAGTTTTTCAAGGCTTCTGCCTGGAGCTGGATTTCAACTTGGCTTACTTGCTGTCAACAGCTTGGTTCCACACCCAAACAGCTCAGAAATGGTATGCTAAACCTTTCAGGGAGTTGCATGGAAAAAAAGCTGGGAAGCCACCAGTGGTGTTACTCAATAGCTCTGTGACTTCTCTGCCCCTAAATTAGGTCTCACCTCTCCCCATCTAATTCACATTGTCAAGACACCTGTGCCCCAAAGTAAGGATTATCTACAGGCTCCAGGAACAGTAATCATCATTTTAGCAGTGCAATTAAATGATGCTGATTTTTTTAATGCATCCATTGTGAAGGATGTGTCATCTCTGTGGTCATGATAGGGGAGAATTTTGCCTGGTCTGCATTTTCACGCAAACTAACTGAATCACACTTCCAGACCAAACATGTGGTTTGCCCCTTAGATTCCACGCTTCTCTGAAGGCTGCGATGCAGCTCTCAGCTCAAAAATTGCTGATAAACATTTGTTTATATGTATACATTAGGGATTTGTGTATATTTTCAGGAGAGCTGCATACAGCTGTGTCTCTGTATGCAGCTCGAGGGCAGGACGCACTCCAATGGAGCCAAGCTCAGGGAGCCAAGGTTCAACTTGGATGCCAGGAAGCACTTCCTGACAGTTGGACCCCCAGGGTGTGGAATGGGCTTCCTCGGGAGGTGGTTGAGGCCCCATCGGTGAGGGTGTTCAAGGATAGGCTGGACATGCACATGGTGAGTCAGAAGGGGCGAGTCGGAAGGGGTCTCCCGGGCCATCTAGTCTGACCTCTGGCACCAGCCAGCTCCGCTCACGACATGCCCACCATAATATGCCTTGAAGCAAAATAGCTGGCAGGGAACTCATCTCAAGGCAGTGGTCAAGTAATGAAGAAGTCAACCACTCCTGGATAGCTCTCCAGACATTTGGACTCCAGCTCCCATCAGGTCCAACTAGCCTGGCCAATGGCCATGGAGGCTGAGAGCTGGGGTGTGAAATACCAGAAGGTACCGGGTTGAGAGTGCAACAGTGAGAAAACTCTGCCCTCTACTGGCCACCGGTTCTAAATGCCAGTATCCGGAGCAGTGCGTGGCATCCGCTGGTGGTCCATGTTCACTGCCCACATTTTCCCAGGACCATTTCTGATTTGCCGCAAGAACCAAGGTTCTGACACCTGTTCAGGCTGTCCGCTCTGCGAAGGATTGGATCAGGATTAGTGTTAGAAGGGTTAAAGCCATGAAGTCAGTGTGCAACAGACCAAAAAAAAAAAAAAAAAAAACCCCGGAAAGCATTCATAAAAGGATGCAAAAACTGCAGACGGATGCAAACGTATCTGCTAAATTGACGCAACACAGAGAATAATATTCCATCCGGCATGAAAACCACCAGATGAAAGTTTTAGCCCCAGTCCACTTCCCAGTTCACAAGTTCACTTCACGCTAATTCCATATCAGCTTGCAAATGTGGCAAAATCAGACAATTTTCCCAAATGTACCAATGCACGTACTTTTCCTAGTATGTACAATTTTTGTCAGTGTTTTTTCCCTAATAAAACACAACCTTGTTTGTACTTCCCCTAACAGTTGTGCACTTGCCCTTAAAATGCACGTTCTTGTGTGCATTTACCATCATGTGTGTATTCCTCTTTTTATGGAGGAAAAAGATACTAGTCCTCATTACTGTATGGTACCTCCTGTATGCCTAAGTTCAACAGTTGCTGGGAACTTGGGCATCAGGTTCTGTTACACTCGCTGCCTTGCCTGGGAATCCAGTGGGCGGCTGGTCCGCCACTGTGTGAACAGAACGTTAGACTCAGTTGTTTGATCCAGCCTGGCTCTTATGTTCTTCATTACTAATAGCACCGTATTCAAGTCAGCAATATCATTCAGAATAGGCACCGTGCCCCAGAGCTGGAGGGGCAGAGAAGCAGCCCAGGAACAGTGGTGGGTCATGAAAGGATCCAGGCTCAGACCCCCTGGACAAAAATCAACCCACAAACTTTCATATACTTTTTTCATATGTGTGAAAATCTCTGGACCAGGCAAGGGCAGGCTTTTGAATTTGGGGGGTGGGGGGGATATGCAGAAACTATTTTGAGGGGCAGCAGGAGGTGAAGCCCATGCATGACTAAAAGCCAGGTAAAGCTTGGAGAGAGATGGAGAAGGCTGACGTCTCAAGGCCTTGTCTTGTCTTGTGGGGCTTACCTGAAATACACACGTGTTGCATTGGGCTATAGGTACGAAAGGGAGAAAAGTTCCCATAGAATTTAGTACACAAGAAAATGGGATTCTGGAGCATCCCTTTTCCCTGCTGCCAGGCAAGGAGTGGGTTTTCCCACACTGAAAAGATACCTGCGGGACGCTGCGATGCTTGTCCGGAACAACCGTGAATCCCACCAGGAATCCGTGCTTCATGCAGGCTTCGTTGGCCGCTGCCAGCCGCATGTCAGTATTCACGTTCATCTGGGAAATGAGAAGTGGAAAAGTGGGTGGGAGGGGAGCCGTTTCTCAGCCTCCCAGCACGGGGCTGCGGTCCAGCACGTCCAGAGGATCTCAGGTTGCAGAAGAGGAGGACTGGAGCATCCCTGAGCGACAGCCACCTGGTCTTGGCTTTGACACCTCCAGCGGAGGTCTCCCAGACGAGCCAAGGGGACAGAGGTGGCCCCCGGGATATCAGCAGGCTCCGGCTCCCATCATCCCTGACTCCTACACCACCGGTTGCCACACGAGAGACAACATCGCCGAGAAGACGCAAAGGCAGCCCATGGGGACACATCCATGCTTGGCGGCTGCACTTGACCCCGGAAGGACCGCTACGCATCCTCTGCCCAGGAACAGTTGCTTGTTACAGGCGTGTGCAGCACCCTGCTGGGGCTCTTTCCTTTCCCCCAGAAGAAGCAACTCATTTGATTGCTATGAAGGCACTTTGCAGCCTCCAATGGCAAGCAGTCGCAGGCCAGCCAGGCCAGGCCGGGGCATTCCCCACAACCTCTCTGGACACGCCCCACATTCACTTGCCTCCATCTCCCATTTCTGCATCACAGGCCTTAGAACCAGAGAAGGGCCGAGCTGGAAGGGGACAGAAGGCCATTGGGTCCAAGCCCAGCTCCGGGAAGGACACGCCATCGAACCATCCCTCTCAGATGGCCGTCCGGCCGCCTCCAGCGTGGGAGAGCCCACCACCTCCCTCGTCCTTGGTGCCATTGCTGTACTGCTCCAACAGTCGGGAAGTTCTCCCGGCTGCCACCGAAGTAAGGTAGGAGAGATCCTGCCCGTCCCCTTTGTGACAGCCTTGCAAGTCCTTGCAGAGTGCTCTCACACCCCTCCTCGGTCCTCCCTCTTCAAGGCTAGACAGGCCATCTGGTGCGGATGCGGGCAACCCATGGCTGAGAGTGGCCCTCTGGGACCATCTGTGCAGCCTCTGTGCATCCCTCCTTGTCTTTGCCATGGGGATGAGTGGACACCTGCGGCCATTTGGAAGTGCCGCACTGCAGCGATTTTAAGCGGCAAGCATTGCTGGGATGGTGGGGAAAGCATGATGCAGGCATTGCCCCATTTATATGGGGTGTGTGACCCACACCTAATGATCTGCTGTAGGATTTGGGGTGAGGGTCACACACCCCATAAGAAATGCAGCCATGGCTGCGTTATGCTGGGAATACAAAATGGCAGCCCCCGGCAACTGGCCAACCAAAGCATCCAAGAAAGATCAATGCCTCCCCAAAGGAGCCATGAAGGAATATAAACAAGACATGGAAAGAAAGCCATGGGTGACTCGTGGCATGTTTTGTAATGCAGGACACCTTGGACCAAAAGGACATTTTTCAGTTCCCTTTTTCTCCTTTTTGGCAAAGAATCGACACCCCTCCTGGCTGTTGAACCACTTTGGAAGTCCAAAGCAGTGTAGATCCAGCCTCTTCTTACCTTGCTTTGGTAGCGAAGAGTTATCAGCCTGATGGTCAGGGCAGCTACAAGCGACACCAAGGTGACCACAATACTGACCACCCAAGGCTTTCCTGCAGCAAATGTGATCAAGGTCGAGTAAAGATTGAGCCAGAGAGTCACATACAGAACCTGAAAGGACAGAGCAGAGGCGGGTCTGCTTGAGCATAGCATGTCAGCAGCTAGACCATCCCATCCACGCCTAAGTGGCCAAACTAGAAAAGTTCTTTTCCCAACCATGAACCAAACCCTCTGGAAAAGAAGACAGCGCCACCATTAGAGCTCAGGAACCCAAACAAAGCTCATTAAAACAACATTTTCTTAAAATAAATAAAGTACTGAAAGGAAGAAAAATGTGAAAGAAAAATAAGAATGCCAAGGGATCTTACATGGATATAACACATCCATGCATAACTGGCCAATTCCTCCCAAAAGCCCAAATTTCTGTCTTTCTGTGAATTAGTACTTTGTTGAAGCTCATAGAAAAGATAATTATAGTTCTCTAGATCAACAGATTTTCCAACCACTTTGAATCAATTATAAATCATCAACAGTATTTTAATGAGCTTCCCTTTGTTCTATAAGTTAAATGGCATATAGTAGAATTTCCATCTATCATTAAATTCTTCAGTCAGTCTTCTATTTACCTAATTTTTTATTTTTGCCATCACGGCATACTCTGCCAACTTACTTTTCCCATCTTCAATTGTTGGACGTTCTGGTGTTTTCCATTTAGAACCAATCGTGATTCTTGCTGCAGTTGTCATATATTTGAATATCTCTAACATGTTCTTTGAAAAGTCTCTGGCACTCTATTCAAAACCATATTCTTAGGAAAGGTGATTTTAAAGGTTTTTGTGTGTCCACCATGTATCGACTTCCAAAATCTTTTAATTTTATCCCAAGTCCACCACGTATGGTAGAAAGTCCCATCTAGCTGCGTACATGCCCAACTTTTTCTATTATAATTCTCTTCCATAACAAAGCTCATGTTGATCAACACTGTCACCCAATATGGCGGCTAAGTTCGGAGTAGGGAGCTTGGACCCAGAAAATCTTGGTCCAATTTTCCCATGCCACAATTATGTTTGCAGTCCCCCATGTCTTTCTCTACCCCGCCAGGACCCTAATAAAAGCATCCATGTGGTTTCAGACCTCAATAAACATGCCATTCCCCTGATTCTCACTGATGCCAAGTGGTCCTTACCACGGTAATGGTTATCCCCAATGCTCTAGAGTTGTAGAATAGATACTTGCTCACTTCTGGCTTCAGCACTGCATGTTGAATTAAGTTTTTCCACTGGTCCACAGTCATCTGTTTCAGTAACAACACAGAAATTATCTGTCTGTCCAAGTTTAGTGGCCACGATGCAGCACCACATCTGGTGTGCTTTCATTGAGCAGGATTGGTGTGGCCTAGACAGTGGGCAGTAAGACAGACCTGAAAACGGGTGGTATCCAGGTAAACAGCCTCCTTACATATCCCAGGATCCCACAAGGGAAGGGCTTGTTGTTCAACTCCTCCCCCTGTTTCCCCCTGTTTTCATTTCCTCCCCCTGGGCCTCTTTCCCCCCCATCCCTCCCGATTCACCTGGCCATCCTGTTGCCTGTCTCCCACCCAGTCCCCTGTCAAAGTTCCCCAGGCAGGGAAATGAAGGCAGCATCTTGAACATAAGAGACTGGTCTGGCCACAGCTCCAAGCATCCCCATCTCCAACAGGGATTATGGAAATTATAGTCAAGTCTTCACTCTCTCAGGCCTAAGAAGCTGCCCAAGCATCCAGACAGTTACTGTGTCTGATTCCACAATGAAACACAACCAGGAGGAAGAGGGAATTTTGTTCTCTTCATTCAGGGATCTCCCACTGGATCTACCATTCAGATCGCTGAACGAAGGGAAGCCTGGTAGATGCTGCAGCTTGGCCTGGAGCATGAGCAGAAAAGCTCAGAAAAGCTCAAAGAAGTCCAGGTTTCGTCCTCTGATCCTATTGAGTGGGGAACTTCTCCATTCCACATGCCCTACTGAGTGTTTCATGGCACGCCTTTGATTTTAAACGTGCCATGACCTGCTCTTTGCTGCTCTAGGATGCAGAACTCAAACACGTGGGTGAAACTTCTGGAGACGCAGATTCTGGCTGAATGTGAGGAGGACCTGCCTAAGGTTACAGGCTGTTTGACAGTGGGATAGAGGGCCTTCGGAGGTGGTGGGTTCTTCCTTGGTGGAAGTCTTTATGCCAGACTCCTCCAGTGGGAAGGCCTCCAGATATTTTAGACTACAGCTGCCAGCATCCAGAGCCAGCAATGGGCAGGGATGATGGAAGTTTGGGTCCTAAGCACCTGGAGGGTACCAGGATGGTGTCATGGATTTAAGCAGAGGCTAAATCACTGACAGAGTGATGTATTCTGCACTGGAAGTCATGCTTTCCAACTGCTAGCCCATATTTAGCTCTCGGAGTTGAATCTGTTATGTAACCTCGGAATGCTATGAAATTGTCTGTCAATAACATTTGTATTTTTTGCATGCATGGCCCCTACACATTCTAGCTGTGAGTCTTCTAATGCTCATATTTAGGCTAAGATCCTATGTGTGTTTCCTTGCATTTAAGTCCCATTGAACTCAATAAGATTTAATTCTGAGCAGGCACACAAACGAGGATGCTCTCAATGGCCTGGATTTAGGTGACCCTGGTTGAACTTAGCCCTCGTTGAAATCAATGGGGCAAGTCAGCCATGGCTTAACTTGAATCCCCTCAAGTGCAGCAGGAGCAAAGTTGGTTGAACCAACCTGGTCCACCCTGAGATAGTAGCAAAAGAAAGCACCTGTAGAAGATTCCACACCAAGGGGCTGCCCCACTGACATCTTTTTGGACCTGATTTTTCACCAGGTGCATGCTACATGCACGAGACCCTAGAGAGGCCTGGTGGCATCCTGGGAGCATCCCTGGCTGCGAATTCCAGCAAGAAATGGGACCTCACCTGGATTCCCATGGCCTTCAGTCTCTCTATCCAGATATTCACATCAAAAGGGGTGGAAGAACAGAACTGGGGGAGGGTGAGGACGAGGAGTGCTTGCCCGTTGAGAAGCTCTGGAAAGCAACAGTAAAAAACATGAAGTTCCTGGACCAGGGGAAGAGCAGGCTGGGCCATCGCTCAGTAGTTTGCACCTGCTTTGGGTGCACAGGCTCCATGGAATGTTCCCCAGCATCTCCGGTTAAACCCATAGAAAAGACCTTCAGATTTCTGCATGAACCTTCATTGGAGTGAAGGGGCAAACACTTTGCATCGGTAGGTTCAGTCCCTGCCATCTGCAGTTAAGGAAACTCACAGGAAGGACCTGGGACCCTGGAAAGCTGCGACCAGTCACCGTGGACAATCACCACCATCCTCCCAGGGTGTTATGCAGGGAGCTGATGGGAGTTGCACTCTAAAACTGCTGGAGGGGGGATCAGAGAAGGCTGTGTCCTGGCCTCCGAGAGAAGCCCCTCCCTCACCTGCAGCTCACAGACCAGGTTGCCCTTCTCGTACACAGGCGCCAACACGGAGCCGCCTCCCCTATTCGAACGACTGACCTTGCCAATCATGCTCACCCCAGAGGAGACTCTGACGGTACCCCAGGATTTCTCCAGAGCCCAATCAGCTATTCCTGAGGGATCACAACTGAACTACCAGGCAGTGCCTTTGGAAATTAAGCCGGCTCATCATCATCATCATTTTTTTTAAAGGCATTCGTGTAAAACGATAGCCTGGTGCATAGCCATTACGACGTGTAAGAGTCAGCACAGAACAAAAAGGCAATGAAGGCAAAATGGCTCTCTCCGAATCTCACGACTAGCCAATTGGTATTAGAAAAATAGGCATTATACTGAATTAGACCCTTGTTTAATCCAGTTCAAAACTTTGGACACTGAGTGGCCCAGGATAGAGTCTTAGCTACTCCCACCTGGAGATGCTGAAGTTCGAACCCGAGACCATCAGCATGCAAAGCAGATGGTCTGTCACACTGGGCTAAGGGATCACTAATTTTCTCTCTGGAAACCAGCCATGTGGTTGCCTCACTTACCTTTCCTCCACAAATCAGAGAGTTCTTCTTCTTTTTTCCAACAGTAAGAGATAGAGAACGGCCAGGCTTCTTCTTCCTCAGCCATACTTTCTTGGCTTTTCCCACAAGCCACTTTGGAAGGACCTTTCTCTCTGGAACTCCTACAATCATATTCTGAAAGACACAGTTCTCCGTATCTCCGTTTTCTGCATGAATGCTGTTGGATTCTTTCCCTGGAAAAGCATAGAAAGCCAATCAGGTCTGTTCCTCCATACCATGCCCAAAAGGTGGTAGAAACCTGGAAATGAAGATCATGCCATCTTCAGGTGGAACTTCAAGAGGACATCCAGCTGTTTCAGCTCTTTTCAGAAGCTCTGCTCCCAGGACTGCATGTTTTTTTCACTTCTTCCTCTCGCTCTCGTGAAGTTTTATTGAGTCATTCACTGAAGCAATATTATAATCACCAGACTCGGGGCGAGGCAAAGGGAGTGAAACCTGGCTAGAGGCCCACTGTTATTGGCAACACCCGCCCCACATTTGCCAACCTCGGAACACTACAAAGGAGTCTTCTTCTTCTGTGTGTTTGCAGAAGCTGGATCAGCTAACACAAACTCCAGCCTTTTTCTTGCTTTTGGTTTTCTTCAGGGCACGCACTGGAATGCACATGCATAAATACTGGAGCACTGTGGTTAGAATTTTCACAATCACAGAATGGTGCAAGAGTATAGTTGGGAGAGGCCAGAAGGCCATCCGGTCCAACCTCCTGCTCAGGGCTGGACTCCCAGTTCAACCATCCCTCCCAGATGGCTGTCCAGCTGCATCTTGAGTGCCTCCAGTGTGAGAGAGCCCACCACCTCCCCAGGCCCTTGGTTTCATTGTTGCACTGCTCTAGCAGTCAGGAAGTTCTTCCTGATGTTCTGATGGAACCTGGCTTCCTGCAACTTGAGCCCATTATGCAAGGCCCTGCATTCTGGTAAGACCAAAATCTTGTCCTTCCCCTCTGTGACAGCCTTTGAGGTACTTGTAGAAACTCTCCTATCACCCTTCAGTTTGCTCTTCGGAAGACTAAACATGCCCAGTTCTTTCACCCTCTCCTCAAAGGACTTCGTTTCAAGTCCCTGGATCTCCCTCGTTGCCCTCCTCTGAACCCTTTCCGGCTTGTTGCAGTGCTGAACAGTGTCGTTTAGGGGGCAGGTCAGCAGCCACTTTTTGGAGAAGGGAATTTCTGTTACGGTGCTGAGCAATGTGCACAGAAAGGGCACGGGGGGAGGATGCATCGAAGTCCCTTTGTCTTCAAGGGACCCTTTCCACATGGCAATCAGCTGTGAGAGGTGGGGTCTGCAACAGCATGTTGCAGTGCAGGAAAGCAGCCAGCCTTTCTGCCTTCCATGCTCCATTCCAGCCCCACTTTCACTGTTTTCTCTTTCCCAGCCAAGAACTTCTTTGGCCATTGATCATGCACAGACCACATTGGGTTGGTTTGCCTCCATTCCTTAGTGTTTTATTTCCCTCCTGACAGATCGTTGGCATTTCTGCAATGGCGGGGTCCCCCAAGTGTGCCAACTGCTCCCTTGTGTGTGCGAACAGAGCCTATTTGGTGTGAATAGTCCTCAGCTTTACTACTTGCTCTTAAAATAGGTAGGATTCAATGCCTCTTTGGAACAGCAGAGCAGAAAACAAGTCCCCTGTTGTATAAAAAAGAAAATGCAGTCTGTGCTATTTATAAGGACATTCTGGAGGTGCAATTCAACCGATACAAATGTGATGCCATTTGGGGGAAATTATATCCATCAGTGCAAAGGTTTCGGAGAGATGGAAATGTATGAAATTGCAGGGTACCTGTTTTGTCTGCAAAAAAGATCTATTGTGTAACTTAAATGATGATGTGGAAACAGTGGATTTAGAAATAGAAAGCAGAATATGAGTCAGCCATATTCTGGAAATGCAAAAACAGCATATTAAATTTTAGGTTGCAGCCATTAAAATATAAGTTTTCAAATCTTGAAAAGTAAGACTTTCATTCTATTCTCGACTGGTCAGACTGACCCAAATTCAGTGTCCAGTTCTCAGATTTAAAGAACTTGGATGGGTTCCAAGAAGGACAACAGAGATGAGCAGGGGAATAGACAATAAGTCTTATGGAGAAAGATGCAAGGCATGTACTCGAGAACTCAGTACTGATCGGGACAGGGTAACAGAGAAATATCTGAAGGGTTGTCATACAAAAGGGATCATCAACCCAGCCTCTACCACCCAGGACTGCAGGACATGAAATAATAGACATAAACTCAAATACTTTGGCCACCTAGTGAGAAGGACGGACTCCCTGGAGAAGAGCCTGATGCTGGGAACAATTGAAGGCAAAAGAAGGAGGGAGTGGCAGAGGATGAGGTGGCTGGATGAGGACACTGGGGCAGTGGGTGTGGGCTTGGGTGGACTCTTGGGGATGGTGGAGGACAGGAAGGCCTGGAGGAATGTTGTCCATGGGGTCACGATGGGTCGGACGCAACTTCGTGACTAACAACAACAGGGAGGTAGATTCTGGATCGACATCAGAGTCCAAACAGCCAGACAATGGAAACAGCCGCCCTCTGTTGGTGAACTCCCCATCACTGGAGGTATGCAAGTATGGACTAGCTGCCCTCTGTCATCCCACTTTACCCTTCAGCAAGAGGTTGGACTCAGAGGCCTAAGTGGACCTTTCCAATTCTGTGACACTAAAATTCTAGCTCTTAATACATTGGGAGTCACAAGAATATGTACAGAAGTCTACTGGAAACCTCACAAAAGCCAACTATTTCAGAATGCTTCAAAAATGGGACATTGCTTGAAGACGTCCACTTCTTTTTCAAGAAGTTATTTTGGACATCATGTTGATAGTGATGTATGTGTTTGTGCATTATGTCTTTGTATATACAAAGACAAATTTGAATATTTGTCTCCCTCTGTCACAATCCTCTCTTTGTAAAAGTCTTCCAAGAGCATATCAAAAGGCAGAAACTGTGAGAAGCTTCCAATGTTTCTTGGAAATGTATTTGTTCACACTGACTTCCCTTTTCTTGTGATGCTGTTTTATTCTCTCTCTCTCTCTCTCTCTCTCTCTCTCTCTCTCTCTCTCTCTCTCACACACACACACACACACACACACACACACACAGATGTTTGCATCAGGAAAAAATTGCACTGCTTCACTCCAAGCCATATTCAAACAAGGAACATTCACAGCTGAGAAAAATATTGGCAGTGCAGCACAACTGTTTTCATTATCAAACAAAAACAAAACAAAATACCAACACTCTAGGTCTGCTTTCTTTCCAGTTTTCCAAGCAGCAACCCCTCTGGCTCTGGACATGACTGCCAAGATCACTCGGGACACAAACTTACACATGTTTAGAGAAAACTCCTACAATTCCCAGCATCCCCTATCCTGGCTAGATGCGGGAACTCTTAACTTCCACTGGATCATGCCCTTTGGGGACTTTTCTGGGCTACGGGGGTTCTGTCTTCTCCCTTCTCCCATGAATCAGGGAATGACTATCCATTTAGTTAATGGCCAATTCTAAGTAGGAGACTTATTCTCTGAATTGGGATAGTTCTGGATCCTTCCATTGAGAGGTTGTTGTGCTGTATTGAGGTTACCAGTATCTGTTAGCATCTGGCCAAGGTACCCGGGTCCCAGAGAGGCCATAATTGGCGAACCAGTTAAAGATCATGGAAGATGCTTGAAGCACTGTAGTCTCAAGGGACTCCAGTGAAGTGATGGAACCAAAGGTTGTCCCAGATTATGAAGCTTTCACAGGAAGTGCAATTTCCATCCAGAGCAGAGCGATAAGAACCTAGGGAGGTGGGTTAGACTGAGATTGTTCCACTGAGTTCCATGACTAACTAGGTTTTCAAACCCAGGTTTTCTGGCCCCAGATCACTCATTCCCACCTACATTCAGTTATAATCACATGCATTCTGATATTTCCATAAACATGGACAGAATAATTATTTCTAGAGTATTACAGGAGCTTAAATGCACGCACAAGCAAATGTCTTTGAAGTCTTCTGAAAAGATGCATGATCACATGGACTGGCTGCTTCATTTCCTGTTTATTCCTGTGCTTACCATTCCTGTGAAATTTAGGAGTCCCGTCGGCTGCACGTGTACAGGATGGAAGCACTGTGCTTCCCACGGTCCAATTTTAGCTAGTTCTGTTGCACTGCACAGAAGGTTCCGTTCTGCCAGCGTCTCCCAGGGTGTCAAATACGAAACTATGGGTAGAGGAACAAAACTTGCAGAACGTCAGTCACCAAGTAAAAGGAAGTTCAGGAGATAGAGCATGTCCTTCTGGGTATTAACTTAACCCTTTCACAGAGAGATTTTTTTTTCAACAGACTGCACAGATTCTAGAATTTGGGGGTTTGATTTCCAAACTACGGAACAGCATTGTGTGATGAAATGCTTTCTTTTAGAATTTCAGGATGCGTTATCCAGCCTTTACATCTCCCCAAAATTTTATCCATTGTGCCAGAGAGATGACTGGGAATGGAGAAGGTAGTGCCTCTGCCTTCTCCCCACATGGACAGGCTGGGCGCACCAAGCTTTCCCACTCTGCACTGTCACTGGGAGCCATTTCCAGCTTGCTGGGGAGTGTCTTTAAATAAAGGGGATCTACAAGATCCCCATTTTCAGCAGCCACCCCTCAAAGAGCCCCCAGTGCTACCCTAGAGGGGCTGCCCTGCTCATTTAAAAAATCTGCAATTCAACACAAAGAGATGAACTCGTTTATTTTCCTTTTATCTGACTTTAATCTGACTATTTGCACAAATTCAGATTGAAGGGTTAGCACACGAGGAAGCCCAGGACTGGCACTTGGCAAAGTGGGGGTCTGCTGGAAAATCTCGAGGACTCTTCCTGAGGGTGCCTTTCCAAGCAAAGCACAGTTTGCAAAGAGTTGCAACATTCATGAATATTTGGTATCTCGACAGCATGGACACATGGAAGCTCAAGAGGGACAGAATAATCCCAAGAATTCTGCTGAAATGGATGTTGGGGGGCAGGTTATGCTCTCCTTTGCTGCCCAATTCCCAGCATGATCCCAGGGAAACCAGTTTGGAGCTAACGGGGGAAGGAGGAGGAAAGGAAAATCGCTTACAAGTTTCTTTCTGGATGGTGCTCCGTTTCAAATCTTAGGAGGACTGGGGTTTCCATGGACAGAAGATCACAGCAAGGTGCCAGAATTGCAATAGTTTTACACTGGGATGAACAAGGAGGAAGATGAATACATCAGGGGGGAAAAGAAAATGCAAAGAGGCCACAACGAACGACTGGAATGCTTTGCTTTCCATCCCTCTCCTGTTCTCCTGGCAACTGCAAAAAAATGCAGTCATGTGTCTTTCAAATCCTCTGGCTTGGCGTCCTTTGGACAAACGCTTCACTCCTCCCACCCATCGCGACGTTAGGCAACTAATATTTTACAGCGTTGCGGCAGAGTGTGAGCAACTCACAGCTCACACTGTGATGCAACACTGTAGAATATGAGTTAGTGCCACATCTGCAATATTAAGATAGCAAGCCCAGACATAAGCCCACGGATGATCCTATCGTAAGTCAGGCAGGGTGTGGAGGATCAAGACAAGTCGAAGTGGGGTAAACAGAATTCAAGTGTGGAGAACCCTGTTAGGCTGCTACTAAAACGATGAGGACTGCTGAAGAAGACGCTCTTATTTACTTTGTTTTTATACCACCCAGTAACCAAGGGCTCTCTGGGCAGTTAACACAGGAAGTAGGTTCAGAATCAGAAGTCAGAACATTTAGAATTGGACAGCTCTGAATCTGGGAGTTCGTCTTGAGCACATCGTCTTTCCTATGCAAAACTCACCCATGGTTACCCTCACATTTCTTTTATTTCAGCAGTATGAGAAATAAATAAATGTAGAAATGTTGGCGGGGGCATCACTGGGTTCCTGTTTTATTGATTGATTGATTGATTTATATCCTGCCTTTTTCCTACAAAGGGCTCAAGGCAGCTTGCATCATTCTCCCCCTCCATCTTATCCCCACAACAACCACCCTGTGAGGTTGGGCTGAGCGTCTGTGACTGGCCCAAAGTCACCCAGCTGGCTCCATGGCTGAGCGGGGACTCGAACCCGGATCGTCTGAGTCCCAGTCCCATGCTCTTAACCACTAATACTGGGGATCGGGTTTCCCTGGTGCTGCCTTGCAGGAGACCTGCTGGTACCTCCAAGTCTCACCTCGTGCCCATCCCTGGGTGCACGGGCCATCACCACAAACACGATAAGAACCAGGATGCTGCATCGGCCATTCCCCATCTAGTCCAGCATGTCATTTCCCGCAGAATCCAGCCAGCTGCCGCCAAGAAGACCACATGCATAAGCTGACACACCCCTCGTAGTGCACAGGTAATTTTTAAGCTACATGTAGGGCAAAATTGCCTGCGGCAAGATCCCAAATTCCAGCTTAACTCGTGCCCGCCCTAGCCATGTTGCAGTGAAGAAATATGTAACTCAGTTAAACAGCGAGCAGTGGAAACATTCTGGGACGCCGATTATGAACCACTATCTTGAATTCCAAGGGTTTAATTTATGTATTATATTTGCATTCCACCTTTTTCCCACTGTGGAACTCAGGGCGGCTACATGAGGTTCTCAGGTGGTCTCCCCCCCAACCTCAGGCCAGCCCCAGGCTTGCTTAGGTTTGGTGGAGTGGGTGCCTTATGCACCTTCAAACCATATTCTGGGCGGGCATCAGCAGCTGGCCCTGAACTGGAAGGAACAAGGAGAAGGGGAATGTGGTGGAGCCCCAGGACGGATGGCAGGGGAGCAGAGAAGAGCGAGAGAAGCAGCACCCCTGGGGGACACCCTAGCCAAGGGATCGTCAAGAAGGTGCAGCTAGCACCGGTTAGAAGAGCCCTGGTGTCATTAGAACATGCTTCTGATCACCCTTGGGAGATATTTCTTCTGTTAAAAGGAAGATTTCAGTGAAACATCACCACCACCAATGAGTAATGTTCACACATTCTCAAGATTCGAATGTTATCACAAATTTTGAGTCAGAATCACTTGATCCTGTTCCTAGAGCTGGACTGATCCACTCACCACCTGTCATTTTGCTTTATCCTGGTTTCCAGACGTGGTTCAAATGATGTATATGCGCAGGTAGCCGTGGTTTTGTGTTCCTCTCCTGCCGCAACCAGAGCCAGTAACTTGGCCCCTTGGAGAAGATTCAAACTAGCCATCCACAAACAGCAACTCACACACAGGGGACCTCAAGAAATGGTAAAGTTGAGTAAACCAGCAATATAGAAGGGCCTACGAAGAGGCAAGGGAGAATTTAAGAGCTGTGTGCTCAGCAGTATCTCAGGACCAAATCTGCAAATAAACAAAATGTCATTTCACCATCTGTGTCTTGGACGAACAGACGGCTTCATTCCAGTGCCTGAGTCAGAAGACAAGCCTATTTCCTCCTCAGTGAGGTCTCCATGGTTGGATGGTGCATATGCTGAATGTTCCTGCCTTAACACAGCTTGCAGGTTCATCACCAGGAATGGTTGGTGGACATTCTTTGAATAGAAAGAATGCCTTGGAGGTCAGAATCTCCTTCTTTGGCTGGATAGCCATCAAAGCCTGGAAGGAGTTCACATCCCTCCGGCCAAAGTAAACATGTTGACAACAAGTGCCTCCTAGAGGTTTGTGAGAAGAAACCAACATTTCAGGGGGCTCCCACTGTTCCTATTGGCCAGGCCTGGTCCCCTAAGTTCTTGCTATCTGTCCCTACTCCATGAGGGTCAAACGACACGTGACTTTTACTGTGTTTTAGCTGTTGACAAAGGCAGAGCACCAGTTTCTGGCAAAGGATGCATTTCCTTAGAGACTGCTTTCTGGGGCTGCATGCAGGTGGTTGGCAGGACTCAAGCCAGTGGCTGGGAAGGTCACCCTTTCCCTCTGCTTCTCCCCTCCCTTTCTCTCCACCTCACTTCGTTTCGGACATCAGCTGCCCCCTTTGTCTCTCCTGTCCCTGAAAGGCTGCTCCTGTTTTCTCCCCAACAGCCCATCGCTCCTTTCTGGATGCAGCTTGCTTTGATAAATCACCTCTCCTCCTCACTTCCCTCTCCCTTTCTTCTCCACCCAGCAGAGTCAGAAAAGGAGTGGAACACTGACTGCTCACAGGAGTTATGAGGTTTTCGTTTACAGTAACATTTCCTGGGAGGCCCCTGGAAGCTCAAGCTGCCAAGCTGTACAAGAGCAAGCTGCTCGACCACTTTGGCACAGCATTTTGCCGAAATGAGCCTCTGCAATTGGTCTTCCTTCCGTACTTCTGATAACTGATTTGCATGCACCTTTGCCCTGAATTCTGAGCTTCCCCCTCTAATTCTGTTGAATTTCCACAGAATTCAAGCAGCATTCCCAATATTTGATTATTCATTCCACATGAAAAGAGTGGACATCACTTTAATAAGCCCGAACTGATCAAGCAATGGGATGGTGGTGTTGTCTATTCTACAGCCCAGGATGAGTGCTCTTGGGATTCAGGTTGCTTTCCATGCCAGGCTGTCCAGATCAACTCCCAGGTTCTCCGTCTCATCTTCCAGTAGGTGTCAAACTGACACTTGTCCATCTCCTACCAAACTTTAGTACGTCTCTTGATTCCAGACTCCAGAATTTGAATTTCCAGAATTATAGAAAATCCTTTAGAAGGTTGTAACTGAAAGGTTATGGCTTAGCTTTCTATTCATTAAACATATGTAAAGAAAGCACTCCAGTCCAGGATGGGGAATTTCTCTCTGACATCAGTGGACTGCAATGGTCAATAACCCCATGTTGGCTGGGAATGGTAAAAGTTGAAGTCCAGCAACAGCTGGAGGGCCGGCAGGTCTCAGCTCCTGGCTTCATTCCTCCAATAGCAGCAGAAGTCTGTGGTGGTCTTGGCCTCTCTCAGGGGGAGGACCAGCACCCTAACAGGCTGAACGTTGAGGACCTGCAGAGAACTCAGGTGAGAAGCTGTGTGTGGTGGCGTGAGCACACCTTGGTGCGATCCAGGAGCCTTCCGATCATCAGGTCAATCAAAGTGTTTCTTTGGTCCCTAGACCTTTTCCCCAGTCAATAGCTAAAGCAACTAACAGTGAGATATTATCTCAGAACAATGATTTATTAGTCAAACCATGATTAAAACAGGATCAACGAGACATGCTCCAGATATTTAGGACTACAACCCCCATCATCCTGATAGTCACACTGGCAGGAGCTGTCAGGAGTTAAAGAGTCCAAACACCTGGATGGCAACATGTTGGTGAAGGATAAAATAGAGAATGAGCTGTCATTATCCGCAAATATTATGGACGTAGTAGGCTCTTTCCTAAAGTTGTGTTAGAGTGAACACAGACAATTAGCATGATGGCCAAGGTCAGAATTTTTCTCCCTGACATCCTGGCACAGGAATTGTTTTGTTGTACACAGAAACATGGAGTCATGTGGGCTTCAAAAATTGTACTGCCAAGATAGACGTTGACTTCTGCAGCAGGACCTGTGTGGGACAGACAGGATGAAGCAGGGAAATCACACTGAAGTCTTGTCACGCAGGGGAATTAATTACAGCTAGCTCTGTACAGGGAAGGGTTTCAGTATGACCTCATGCTATCTGCTAGTTTTTCAAAATTCTCCCTGGAAGATTGTCCATACTAGAAAAATACCGGACGCATGGCTTGGATTAATCATGTCCTTTTCCCTCAGTTTATAGCCAACTGATGCCATTGCTTACGTAGTCAGGGAACCAACATTTACACCCATGGAAGACACACCCACAGGCGTGGGCTCAAATAAATCATGAAGTACCAAAAATATTCAAGAAAAGCCATGTGCAGAATGGGGACACCCCAAACCACCCTATTCTGCTCAACGGTCACAGAAGACTGACAGGTGGATGTGGCTTCAGCTATTGGGCAGTACCGAGTTGTAAATCATTCATAACTAATCCTTTGCTATCACTGCATCCAAGGGGATCCAAGAACAGCAGCCCGGGAAAAGGAACAGGGTAAAAATGGGTTTTAAGAAGGAGAGCAGGACCAAGGTGTGCTGAAAAGGGAAAAGTAGACCCAGGAAATGTGGCCAAGGCCAGCAGGAAGACAAACCCTAACCCTTACCTACTCTATCCTCAGCTTAAGAAAATGTACTCCAGGTCAGTGTGTATAGATTTGCAGCCTAAATATATTGTGATTTGCGGCAAACAAATTTATTTATTTATTTATTTAATTTATTAGGGGTTTTTTTCCCCCGTCCAATACGAATCGTCTCCGGACAGCTTACAGTGTGATAAATATCCAATAAATACAATAGCAAGATAAAATACAACTGAGGATGAATAAAATCTGATTAAAATTTTAAACTTTAAAATATTGGGTAAATAAAAAGGTCTTGACCTGGCACCGAAAAGCGTACAGCCTCAGCGCCAGGCGAACCTCTCTGGGGAGTGCATTCCACAGCCGAGCGCCACCACGGAGAAGGCCCTTCTCCGGGAGATCCCTCTCCTAACCTCCTTCAAGGAGGGTTCCCAGAGCAGGGCCTCTGCTGCAGCTCTCAATGTGCGCGAGGGTGTATAGGGAAGAAGACGTCCCTTCAGGTAGGTAGGTAGATAGGTAGGTAATTAAGATATTTGTATGCCGTCCTTTGCAAGAGCCTCAGGACGGCTTACACAAATAAAATACAAATACCTAACATAACATTAATTAATTAACAACCCACTCTGGCTGCAATTAAAATATGATGATAAAATTCAATATTGAAACTTGTTAAAATATTGATTAAATAAACAATGTATTGTTAATAATAAATAAGGATAGGTATCCTGGTCCCAAGCTGTTAAGGGCTTTATAGATCAATACAGGCATCTTAAATTGGGTCCAGACTTCAATGGAAATTGGAGCTTATATGGGCAAAGCTGAGAGCTGAACAGTTGCGGGTGGATGCATTGCCATGCTGAATCCTTGCTGCTATGGCTTTCGAGCTCTGCGATTTTGATTCGATTATTGTATACGTATGTTGCTGCACGCACGGCGGGCTGGGCGTCTCTGGCCAAGAAACTTCATCTAACATTCAGGGAGTGAGTACCTTCAAGGTTGGCGCCCAGAAGGGATTTCCCACTAAAATGAAGCAATCAGATGTACTCAAAAGTACTCTTCGGAGAGCATGCTCCAATTCTCCTAATCCTGATTGTTAGTCATGTCTGTTTCAGAGCTCAACAGCATCCAGAGGTTCCCCCATCAAAGCCAGCCACAATTACAGGGAATCCTTCCCACTTGCTCCCTGGCATCAAGAGCATTTTTAAGAAAGCGTATCAACCAACCAACATACACCATCAACCACAGAAGAGGGACAGGTGCCCGGTTTGTTTTGTGCAGAAAAAACACAAGAGAACTGCAGCTGGACAATACCAGGCATGTGTCCAGACAATTCCAGGAAATGGACAGCCTGTGGCTTTGCTTGCAGCACGGATGAAAGTCAGATGCCACAGGGAAAAATCAAAGCAGTGAGGATTCTCAAGCAGGAAGCTGCTCTGCTTTCAGTTCCCCCACCAAAATCACATGGGCCAGAATGCTGTATATTCCCCCCACATGAGCTGTGTAGTCTAGTCAGTTTTTGCTCCCTTGACAACAGGGTGGGGTGGTGTAAACCCACCAGAAAAGACGTGAGCAATTATGTTCTCCAAGAACTCCTGGATAGGTCTGCTAAATGGCCCACCCAAACATGTGAACTTGCGACGGGAGTACCATTCATATCAGCCTTTGCATCTTTGCTTCGTCTGTGTGTGTCCCGTTTCTTTGCTTCATTGCAATTGCCCTCCCAGTCCAGTCTCTTCTACACAGACCCAAAGAATCCAGAGAAGAGAAATCACTTCCCTTCACACCGGCGTAACGAATGCAGGGAACCCCAGAACCGCTTCCCATATTTCTACAAAGGCACCAGGTCAAACGGAACAAGGCCAAGCCCATCTTGTCCCTCAGCACAAGGAGCAGTTGACCAGAGAGTGGACTACCCAAGCCCTTTCCGCCATCTGCAGAGACGCTGGGCCCCGTGCCGTTCCATGCAGGCTTTCTGCAGAGGAAGAAGCAAATCCTGAAACCAAGGAGGGCCCCCACTTTCTTGAATATTGCATAATTCGGAAAACCCGGGGCAATGCTGCTGCTGGAGGTCAACCTCCTTTGGTCCCGAGACTCCCAAGGCCTTCCGATTTAGAAAATCCTTCAGTTTCTTTCAACTCTGACATCTCTGCTTCTGCCTCTTTCTGCGTCTGCACCAAAATAAGTGCGACTGGAGTTTGTTTGGGTGGGTGGGGGTGCATTTCTCAGCTTGTGAGAGTTACCTGTTTATTGCAAATGTATCAGCATGGCTTGCCTTTGCTTTTCTCTGAGGATCACTGGGTTGCCTTCTGCACACTAAGTTGTCTTGCTGTATTTATTACTTATTAGATTTGTTTGAAAACCGCCTATTAGCATCAGGGAGAGAAACCAAATATGGGGTTTGATCTTCCTGGCTCAAATCCCATCTCTGTCTCTGCTAATCAGAGTCTTGGCCAAGTCAGCTCACCTTCCCCAGCTGGTGTTCTCGCAAATAGGTGTGCTTGAATGATGACAGCAGCCGCTATTCATTTTGTGAATGCGCTAACTCCCTTCAGGGCAACCATTTTGTGAGAGTGCACACAGACCCTGTCAATACCCCCAATGTGGGCCATAAAACAGGGGGAGTCCCACAACTAGACAAGCCATCCTTAAAGATAATTGCGCTGCGTTCCTTCAGCTCCCAGGAAAAGTGAGTAAGCTTGCTTCAAGAGATCTAGCCTCTTGATATAACTGGCTGGCATCCCCGCATGACAAAGAACGAAATATGACCTAGTTAATGTGTATACCAAATCTAGCCGCACTGGTAGCGAGGATCTGTAACTGATAAATCATTCTTGCACAGGTAGGGGTGGTGTAAGGAGAAATAATTTTCATCAGATACCAGATTAAATAAGGTCTTTATTTTTGATTCAAGCACCCATAAGTGAAGGTTTCTAGTTCAAGTTAAACAGGAAGATAATCAAGGGACAATCACTTAAATAGAACCTACTGCAAAATACTTTCACAAGACTTTGGATTCTCCTGTATCATTAAGTTCTACAGCTTTATGAACCAAACCTGCACCTTGTTTAATAGCAAGGCTAGAGTTGGAGACATTACTTGCCAGCAGGCCCAGTTTATACATTCACAATTTAAGGGGCGTACAGAAGTCAGTCCGTCAGACTTCAAACCCTTCCTAACTTACAACTCCTCCTTGGGGCCAAAGTGTCAATTGAATACTTATTACAGATCATCCCATCTGAACCTTCCACTTTAAACTTGTGCATTACAATGCACTTTTCAAACACAGAATGAGTGTATCCCTATCTTTGGATGAACTCCAAAAAGGCTAGAAAAAGGAGGCAAGATGCTTCAGCAAAAGGCCTCTTGGAACTAAGTTAAGAACTTGGAAAAGAGAAGGGAAAGAGTCAGCATTGCCCAATACTTCTAGATGCTCCTCTATCCATTGATACGGTAGTTCAAGTGGATTTCTGGCTTGATGTCAAAGACCAAGTTGAGAAGTTTGCCCAGGACTTCCTCTCTGCTCTGCTGGAAGCTGTTCTGAAGCACCAACATTTTCTCCTGAGTTTCCTTTTCCACTTCAGTGGCCGAGCTGCCATGGGAACCAAGTGCCTGGGGGTGGCAGGAAGAGGAACAAGAATTAAACAGGTGGCAATGTGAAAAAAGAATGTTCATGTGACCTCAGGAACCCCTAGATACCTCCTGGGGTAATGGAGTTCCTCAGTACAACAGAGGCCCATTAGCAGGGGGAAAAAGCGAAATGAAACGAAACGAACAAAAACAAACAAAAACAAAACGAAACCCCTAATGCTAATGAGAACACCAAAGTGGCAGCTTCTGGCTGGAATGACTAGAAGTGGATTTGCTGTTGCAAATACAGAATGAATCTGAAATAGCTATTTAACCATTTTCCAGAAAATATAGTGTGGGTACGTGCACACACTTACTTTACAAAGGTGTGAAAAGTTCTGCACAAACAGAGGCTAAGAACCAAGAGTGTGGCATGCTCACAGTAAGCCAATAAACCTTAAGAGTAGAGGAAAAACCTGCAGTACGTTGAATATGTGGCAGTGAAGGACCAAAAGAATCATTGGAAGGAATACTTTCTGGGCTTTAAAAAGGGAAGGATGGAAACACCCTCTGGAAGTGTTTCTGTTAATCTGGCAATAAATGTTAACGTGTGCAAGACTGGTAGCAATATTATAGATGTACTTAACAAAATGAAATAAGTATATTTAAATTTTATTTAAATACAGAATGTAGCTTGGCAAAGATGGGAACTGAGCTACAATGAGAAAGGCTGATTGCCAAAAATGCATGAAGCTTTCCTGGAACTCGATACACACAAAAAAAATTGTTTGCCACAAAGACAGCAGTTGGTGAAATAAATAAATTCCCATTTGTGAGAATTGTTTGGAAGGTTTCAAGTATTCAGCGGTCTAAATGATTTTATGCACTTGGGAATGTTTTTCAATCCGAAATGGACATGATGGACACTGCAGAAGCTGCATGAAACAAAAGGTGGCCTCAACAAAAGAAAATTAAATGTTTTCTCTCTTCAGGCACATATCCTAAAACCAGGGTGTTTTTACATGTAGTCATTTTTAATATATATTAAGCATGGAGAAGTCCATGCTACTGTCTTTATGTTTTATATTCAAAGTTTTTATTGGATAGGTATATTTAAATATCATAGTTCAACTATATTGTGCAGTTAAATTTCCCCCTAAACAAGTTTGAACTGAAGTATGAGAAAACTGATAATATTCATGCCACACATCAAAAGTCAACACAAGAAAGCAGAACTACAAATGCAGTTTGTCCCTAGCATGCATTCTTTCTTAACAGCAAAGCACCCCATGCCAAATCAGATAATGTGGAGTGCACTGGGAAACGCCCCAGTTTTACTTTTGCTGGAAAACCCATAACGCTGCTTATCCTTCTGGCACTTCGTAGGAAAGGGTTTTCAACCACTGTCATCCAATCTGGCAAAACATCAGGGAAATTTCCCCTGCTTTACTATGAATTAGCAGAAACCAGATGGTTGCTGGAAGCCTTTCCTACAAATCAGCGCAGCTCCTGCCTCAACGATCTCCAGGGCAGGAGGAGCTAGGATGCCTCGGACAGGTGCACCCATGTCTGAGCACAGCTGGGTTCACATAACAAGCAACGGTGTTGTGCTTGTGCTTTTTACACTTTGGGTACTTGTCATGTCATGCAAAGGCGGTCAATCATTTTGTGAGACCTGCAGTGAGCTTCTGGCTTTCAGAAAGTGTGGAAAGCTTAGGAGAGCTGGCCTGAACTTTTGGAAAACATGGGTTTCTTACACCTGCAAGTATCTTCAAAGCAGACAAACAAAATATGTCCACCGCTGTCAGGGAGAAGAGCCAACCTGACTAGGAATGCAGTTTTTTCAACATGGAAAAGCATGGCATAAGTTTCCCCAGCAAGCGATACTCTGGAACACCTGAAAAGATCATCAAGCCGTTATCAGAGCTCAGATCCTCAAACTTTACGATCCCAGAACTCTCCGAATCTGGACAGAAGCTAGACTGTGTCTACCACGTCCTGCTGCTTGTGAGCTTTGTGGAAGCCACCATGAAAAAGGAGACACAGGACCAGTTTACAGCCGTGCAAAAGCACTAACTATATTCATGCGAGCGTTTGCCTGCCTGGCCCTGCCAAAGAGCCAAGTCCTTGAAACTTAGACACCTGAAACTTGCTACACACACTTGGTACCAGGAGTCCTGACAGCCTGATACCAAGGGAAATTGTGTCCCTTGGACTATTACACTCACGCATCCACCACCTTGCTAAAGGACAGATCCCTCAGGGGAACTGGGTGAATGGAGAAGTTCCTTCAAGGAGGGTGGACCTTGCAGAGATCAAAGAGCAGTGAACCCCAACATCTGACTGAAGCAGCGGAGGGGGTTACTAGAAGCCTTTCCAACAAGCTCTCCTTAAAACAACCTGTCCCCCTTGATCAATGCTAAAGCATAGCATCAAACGAAGAAAGGTGACTTTGTAGGTGCAAGATTACCAAGCAGAGATACTCCAACAGAAGGCAAGAACCAGGACACGTCAGAAAAGAAGGCGGCGGCTCAGCACTGGGGGTGTGGAAGACGGAGAAGAGTTCCCGGACTCTGTCTGGTTCTTAGGTAGTAGGAACCGCTCTGAGGGTGGAATTAGATGGGATGGGATGTCTCTGTGGGCTTAACTCTCCACATGGGCAGATGCCACTCCCACATCTTAAAGAGACTGTTATTTTGATTCATGAGGTCTGTAATCTGCAGAGTGCCAAAAGGAGACTGTGCCGCTAAGGTTTAATCTAACTTTGCTGCAAAGGAAAAGGGGAGAAATACCTGCAATACGAATGCCTGGGTACAGCCATTATACTTATGGTTCTTTTATTTGATTCATATGCCACCTTTTTACTTAACAAAGAGCTCAAAGAACTTAATCCTTATCTTTAAAAAGAGGTGATAGGGCTGATCAAGCTAATTACCACTGTAGCAGCCTTTATTCACTTATTTGGAAACTTGGTGTGGTAAGGTTTGAACCAGAATAGAGGACAGTATCTGAAGAACATATTGGGCAAAAAGCTGGTCGTTTAACTTTGAAAGAATACTACATATTACCTCACTTGGCAGAGAAATCCATTCAATTCCTGGCAGAAAGCATCAACTGTTTGCACTGATTTCAAAGCAGCTTCTGTTCTGGTCCTGATGGAATTGCACTAGTCTAAATTACCTCAGAGTTCTATAAATAGACACTTGTTCTTCTTCATCAGATTATGGCCCTGCATAGCCAGACTCCTCCCTGAGTCAGATGTGGACAACAGGAACACAATTCTAATCTAATCACAGTTACACAAGGGGCATTTAGAAAAGGTTGTGTCTTGCCCTCTTATAAAATTTCTTTATTTGGCTTCCTCCCTCTGGAACACTGAGTCCCACACTCCTAGACTGGATAATATTTGCCCTCCCGCCCCTTGAGATTGGCAGCAGAGGCCCTCCTCCGGGAACCCTTCGTGAAGGACATTAGGAGGCAAAGTACCTGGAGGAGGGCCTTCTCTGCGGTGGCGCCCCATCTATGGAATGCACACCTCAGAGAGGTCCACCTGGCGCTGTCATTATTTGTTTTTCGGCGCCAGGTTAAGACCTTTTTATTTCAGCGGTATTTTAATAAGTTTTAATATTGGTTTTTTCTATGTTTTTAATTGCAGCCAGTGTGGGTCGGGAATTTTCTTTATGCTATTACATTGTAAGCCGTCCTGAGGCTTTTTTGCAATTAGGACGGCATATAAATATTTTAAATAAATAAATTATACCAAGATACCTCTGCTTTTGTATACCAATGGGGCTGTACCACTGTCTCCATCCAGGAGTGAGCTGAATTACTTATCATCTGCATTCAGAACCTATTGTTCCACAAACAGCCTATTATTGGTAAACAGTCAAAAGTTCTACTGTTCTCCTAAGTTTGAATACCATTTAAATGGGCGTTAAATGGGGATACTGTTATACTAGGAACTGCACAATGTAGGGACAGTCGTGAATGAATCTTTGCTCATTCCCCAGTTAATTGAACCTCTAGCCAGGATGGGCAAAGAAGTAACGCCAAGATTTCACAAGCCTGTGACTTGAGAAAGAAGAAAAAGGAGTGAAACAGATTAGCTAGCATAAACAGGTCACCCACCGCTGCTTCCTTTGCTTTGAATTCTTTCTCCCTCTGTAGGCGATACTGCTCAATTTCGGCCTGGGCCTCTTCTTTCGCTTGTTTCAGCCGCCGGTTCTTCCCTTTTTCAAGAGAGGAGAGGCAAGACAGAGAGATCAGACCAGTAAGGCAGCTTATCCCAGATTAAACTGTAATCCAGTAAGCTGGTTTGTTAAATGTTTCCAGGGTACAGAGCTACAGCACCCTTTAAAGCAGCCATGCACAACAGTGCTAGAATTTGGCATGAACCACAGTAATTATCTAGAGAACCGAGATGGTGTTTGCCTAAATTTAAAAGAAGTGTCTCACCAGAAAAACCCAAGCACCTATTTGAACACAAGTGAGGCCTCATTTTTCCTAAAAGCCTTAAAGTTGGCCGCTATTTAAATAGCTCCATCAAAGGAGAATTCACAACTTCCCCAGGCCCTCTGCCCACTGTCAAATAGCTCTTACCCTTAGGAAGTTTCTCCTAATGCTTAGAAAAATGTCTGCTTCCTTCTAGTTCCAAGCTTGGCTGTAAACAGCCTCTTAATCAAGCCCAGGAATTCATTACAAGCTTCCAAACTGAAAATTATTGGTTACTTCCTCCTTAATTTTATCTTCAACATGTAGCACAACCTCAGGGATCAAGACAGATATCTTTTTCTTTTTGCTATGCGTCACCTTGACCAATGACTGAAGGCATCGCTACATCAAAAATGCATTTTAAAAAGAGAAAGATAATCCAACCACAGGAACGGTAACTGAGGGCAAGGCTGTATACAGGCCTAACTTTGCCCAGTCCACAGGGAGGCATAAGTCAGGCTTCCAGCATACTGATTGCTCAACTTCAGTGAATCAATCCAGAGTAAGACCATCATGTGCCTGGAAAGGCCCTATCTGCAGCCACAAGTGGAAACCACACTTTGAGTCAAAGGCTATAAGACTGCACAGCAGACATCCAAGCGCTGCTTGCTTTTTCTTTCACAGCCCCGTTGCTGCTTGCCTTTCAGGCCACTGTTCTTCCCTTAAAAGGCTGCCAGCGACAGATCCTTTGTCATTTTGACCATTGCCACCTCCCCAAATGAAATCGAATGTAGAACAAACCCACCAATGCAACTTCCCTTCATCACACAAAGCTCTTTCTCACAGGATCTCTGTTTGCGGGGTTTAGCTCCTTCAGGACACAGGCCTCTGGATTGTGCTGTAAAACCCCACTGCTAAAGTGCCCCACATTGCAGGCCTCCCTGCTTTATAACACGAAATTCAACTATATGTTCCTTGCCTTCACTTCCCCTCAAACTCTGTCCATTAACTCCCAAGCTTCATTGTTCTCTCCCCACCACAAGCCCATGTGTACCACCTGCCTCAGGTCCTTCCACATTAACATTTTCAACACTGGAAGGCCTGAAACAGGAACAGGCTTCCTGGTGCTGAAATGACAATACAGGCATCAAGGAGCCTTCTCCAGGAATGGCAGGCCACCACTGAGAAGGCCCTTCTGACCATGGTGCCACCCCCAAAATGCTTATTTCTCCTAAAAGCCTTCATCCTTCTTCAAACTGGCAAAGTGCTACCTAGTCCAACTCTGCCATCTGTCCCTGACAGTCTATACACCTTGCCTTACATGCAAAACTTACCACTGAAGTACACTCCAGTATGTCTTCTCATCATTTCTTAAGGGAAAGGGTCAACCTTTGGAGACCAAAGGCACCTTTTGCTAGAGCAGAGCCCTTGCTCAGTGTCTTTTTATTTATTTATTTATTTATTTAGACAATTTCTATGCCACCCCATTCGCCGAAGCCTCGGGGTGGCTCACAAACATAAATAACTTCGATAAAATAATATAACTTAATAGTATAAATTAAGTTTCACAAGACCATGAGCTTCATCTCGCTCACCTGCCCAAAGGAACCCCCAATCGCTGCATAAAAGCCAGCTATGTCAACTCAGCCAGTTTTCTTATGCACACTTGGGTATACACGCACAAACCTCTGTGCCTCACAAGACGGTTGACGGAAGGACAACCCTGAGCCACAGAAGCCACCTTGGATTCTTCACAACAGGAAAAGAGGCAAGACATAGATGCAATGTAACCACGAAAAGGTTCACCCCAGTGAGGTCCAAGGCTGAGGACTCCAACAATAAACCCCATTCAGACCTGGGCTACTCGCACACACGTCTGCTTCGCAGCGGGCCCCCCTCTGAACTCAACAGGCTTGCTACACACTTCTGATCTTCCCGTTGAGCCTCTGCTGCGCTCCAGCCGGTTTGGGCAGCGCTGTCCCAACCCGCCTGCCTCAGCCCCCGCTCTGATGCAAGCGGCCCCGGGGAAACCTGCAGGACAGCGGCGCTTCTGCGAAGGAGAGGATGCAGCCGCCATCCCCAAGCGGCTTGCCCCCCGGGCAGGGGAGGGGAGCGGAGGGGCGGGCCAGGCCGCCGTTCCCAGCATCCCCAGCCAGCACGGCGAAGGGGCAAGGATGATGGGAGGCATCGATCCAACTGGGAGCAGGGGCCACGCCGCCGGGCCTCTGGGGAACGCGGGAGCGCAGCCCGGCCCGCCCCGGCACTCACGCTTGCGGGCCTCGGCGACCTTCTCGGCCGCCCGCTTCTCCGCCTGCAGCAGCTGCTGGATGCCCTGCGACTGGCTGGCCATGGCGGCGGTCGCGGCGCTCCCCGCAGCTCCTGCCGGCCCCTCTGCGGCGCGCGCGCCCGGCCAGCCGCCCGCTCAGTTCCGTCGGCTCCGCTCGCCTGGCAGGGAGGCTGTCAGCTGCCAGCTGACGGGTCACGTGAGCGCCGAAAGCACCGCCCCTTCCCCCCGCCGCCGCGATTGGAGGAGCCGCTCGACAGACGGCGGGCGGAACGGCCGGACCCGCCTCCCCGGCGGGACGGGCTCCGCGCTGCTCTAGGCTCTCCTTCTCTATGGTGGGATAGAGCGACCGGGGCCTGCAACTCCGGAAAACTTCGCCCGCGGAGCGGTGTGGGGAACAAGAATGGCGCGGCAAATCGCTCGTTTCGTTTCGTTGTCAGTCGGAAAGCGACCGTCTGTACGTGGTGGGTGAGTGAGGGGGAAGCCCCTTCCACCCAGACCGGAGGCCCTTCTAGGCCCTTGATAGTCGGGCCTGAGTGGTCACGTGCTCTGGCCACGCCCCTTTCGCCCTCCGAATTTACTCCCCCTGGCGGCAGCTCCAACGGTTCCTTTTTGCGCGCCCCGCCCCTTCAGGGCCTCGGACTGCGCTGCTGCGCATGCGCAATCCCTCTCGTCGAGTTTCCCGAGCGTTGTAAGCGCTATTTGCAAGCAAAAGGCCAACCCGGTCCGCTCGCCCCAGTGAATGATCCATGAAGGTATTCATAGGCAGCTAATAGTAATTGTGCAAGTATTAATATGCAGTTGTTAACTGTGCAGATATTAATATGCGATTGTTGATTGTGCAAATATGAATATGCTAGGATTGCAGAGAGAAATAGTTCAGCCGTCGAATTGCCCTGTTTAGGGCTCCTTTCTAAATATGGACTATTTAGAGGACTATCCCATCCGCCCCCAGGACAATCCTAGCTGGGGAGAATGGGAGTTGTATTCTGACCCATCCGGAGGGCATCAGGCTGAGGAAGGTTGGTGCAGAGTTCAGCAAGGGTTCCCCAGCGCCTGCCCCCTGTTTTAACTGGCGAGGCCTGGGATTGAAGCTGGGGCTTTGCAAAGTATTGCCAAATGCGTGCCTTTCCCTGAGCTGCAGCTGGGAACTGAAACGTGGACACAGCTCTCCCTGGAGGTACGCACAGCATATCTCACCCTGCCAGTGTCTGCAGGGTACCCCTGCAGGCGCCTGAAACCCCACAGTGCCGCTGGAAACCCTGGGAACCTGCCTCACCTTGGCTGGCAGTCTGTCTCAATCCTAGCTGACTTCAGCCTGCTCCTGACTCTGCCTTGATGCTCTTGCCAGACTCCTGAAACTTGTCCTTGTCTCTGGCCTTGCACTACCTTGCTGGGTAGCTGACCCTTGCTCGTTCCTAGCCACACCTTTGCTCCTGGCACCCCAAGACCTGCATCCACCTCCATCACCTGGTGCTCTAGCATTGCCCATGTCCTAGACCTGACAGCTGTTGTCTTTCTACTCTGAAGAGAGCTGTCTTGCAGGGAGGCCAGGGCATAGCCTTTCCCCAGTGCCACTTTCCGAATAAGTCTGGGACTTGGATTCGCAGTAAGTGCTTTCTCCATTGACCACCACGCCCCGTACACACCAAATAGCACACGTACTTATTTATGCAATAACATAAAATCACCACTTGAAACTATCTAAGTTGTTTTGCTCCCTGGCAGGAGCCAGAAACTCATTAAGACCAGCATCCACTGTTTCCAGGACAAGAAGTTAGTGAACATTTATTTCTATAAACCTTTTAAAAAGTTGCTTGGAAAGTAGAATTTGCTGACCGAGCAATGTGAATTCCAGTGGTCTCTGACCACCAAGACAGGGCTGCAAGAGGTATGCAGAAGAACCACCGTGAAGAAGAAAATGCCAGGCTTTTCAGCACAAGGTCACAATTGTGCTGACGTCTAAAACAGATGAAGCCAACCCTGCCAGCCAAGATTCCTGCTTCCAGTGTGGTCTGCAGCCCCCTGGTGCTTAATACTAGTTTGTCTTAGGACCACAAGGTACGCTAACAGCTAGTTACCGATGACCCATTTCTCACAGCAGCTTGTGAGCTCTTTGCTAATCAGATTGCAGGGGATTTGGCCTGCGACCTCAGATCTGTTTCCAGCTCTCCATTCTGAAGGACACCAATTACATAGAAGAAGCGGGTTGTTTCCACTAATTTTCATATTTCTGGTATCTTACATGGACCAGAACTTGGAAAGGTGCCTAGACTTGGGGCCCGTGTGTTTCTCTAGAGCAGGGAGGTATGTGGATACGATACTGGAATGGTGGGGAGTGAGCTGCAGAACTCTATGAAGTGAAACCTATATATAGTGCAGGCTAAGGGCGGGTAGACATGGGCTGGGGGGGCCCAAAAGGTCAAATTAAGCATGCTTACAAGCTAGATTTGACCGTTTAGAAGTTTCTTAGTGTTCTAGCCTCCATTTCTTAGGCTTTAAAAATAATTATGGGAAGGCTGCAGCTTGTGGGGGTGGAGGGATCTGGAAACTCAGTGCTGACTGATGGGTCTCAGTGCTATTTCATGTATTACAACAATTTTATTACTGTTGTATTACATAGAAACAGAGAATTGGAAGGGGTCTTCCGGGCCATCTAGTCTGACCCCCGGCTCCAGCCAACTCCACTCATGACATGCCCACCATGTGCCTGTCCAGCCTATCCTTGAACACCCTCACCAAAGGGGCCTCAACCACCTCCCGGGGAAGCCCATTCCAGGCCCTCGGGGTCCTAACCACCAGGAAGTACTCCCTGGCACCCACTCTAAATCTTCGTTCTCTGAGCTTTGCTCCACTGGAATGTGTCCTGCCTCCACTGCAGGGGAAAAAAGGTCAGGACCCCCCTCTGTGTGGCGCCCCCTCACGTACCTGCATGTCACCAACAGATCCCCTCTGTTACTTATTATATCAACCATCCAGAGAGCAAAGAGGCTATTGTGCTGGTATATAAAAGTGTTAAATAAAATAAATGAATTATTTTTATACCCTGTTGTGAACTGCCCAGAAAGCTTTGGCTGTGGGTGGTAAAGAAATGTTGTTGCTGCTGCTGTTAATAATAATAATAATACTCAATTTGTATGGCACAAGAACCTTATCATGGCTTCTGTCATGCTAACCTAGACAAATTCCCCCAGGGTGACTTGTTTTGAGACAGTAAGCCACCCCTGACAACCCATGGGTATTCTAGGGATTGTACCAACATGCGGCTCTAAAGCAGCGGCTGCTGCCCCCGGGGGTCAAGGTTTCAGAGGAGCCGTCCAAAGTAGGAGTCTTACCATTTGCTTTCTGCACAAATGAACCTGCAGCGCCTGTGCAGAGCTGCTGGGAATGTCCGGTACTTTACAGCAGGTACCAGCAATATCTCTCAAGGACGTGCTTGGCTGCCAGAGAATTTTCCAACAATTTCCAGTTTTATTTTGCCCCTAATGTGTTATCCCTCCTCCTCACTGCTGATTTTTGAGTTCATTTTGCGCTTTCGCACACACCATTCCTTCAGTCCTTTCATCTTGCATGGCTCGGTTCCAATGCATTCAGCACTTCTCTGTCTCCCCAGCACCGTTCAGCACATTTAGAGTTCAAAACTGTTCGCAGAGGATTGTTACCAAGTTATTGGTTTACAGGTAAGAATACCAGAGCGTGAGGAACGTGCCCCAGATGTCCTGAATACGAGTTCTTAACAACTTTTAGCAAGGAGATGCAGATCTGAAGCAATGGATTCTGGGCTTTAGCTGGGCTAACTCTAAGCAATTCCTTGGCCTCGTATAGCTGCATATAACTTTATTACTGCAATCTGGAAGTGATGGAAGAAAGCATCAGAGATAAGCCGCCAAGCATGCTTCATGTGGAGAGAATTACAGAGAAATGTAAAGTGAGCTGACACCTGGTCTGTGGCAGAAACTAGCTCTAGACATTATTCCAAAGAGACCCAAGTACTTTTTTCCCTTTTTGGTCTTTTAGTAGCTGCCAAAAAGTGAACAATCAAAGGAAAGCAAAAGTGTGAGTGAAGGTTGCTGGAGAAAAGGGGGACTCTGCTGGGCACCACTGCGGGGTGAAACCCTCTTCCCCCTCTTGGCTGTGTGTGAAAAAGGCACGTTTGGCATTTTCCTGGGTCTCTAGCTGCCAGGGAGGTGGGCAGCCGTATGTCCAGGGGAAACAAGCATCAAAATCTTTCAAAAGGAGCCTGTGAAAAGGAGGTGGAAGGCACTTGTGCACTTCCCAAGCAGCCAGAGTTGCAGGAGACGGTGCAAAGGGGTCATTACCCTGACAGAAGATCGGGAGGTGGAAAGAGGAATATCTTACTGTGAGGGATGCCACCTTTCTTGAAGCACGAATCGCTTGCGTCTTAGCTTTCCCTTGACATCTCAGCCTGCCGCCAGGAGATTGCTAGAACCCGGGCTTCAAATTTCCACCTTAGTGCAACAGCAGATATAAGCGATTGCACAAGTCCTGCATCAGACTTGCCTGCCTGCCTGCCTGCCTTACCTGCCTGCCTCCAGTAGGGGGAGTCAATAATTCCACCGAAGGGCATGGCCCTTTTCTAGGGCTACCACCAAAAAGACCCTCATTGTTGCGCATGCCAGTGTGGTCTCCAAAGAAGATGGTACCTGAGGCAGAGTGTTAGTAACGGATCTCACTCCACAGGGAGGCTCATTCGCAACTTGTTCCTTGAGACATCCGGAACTCATGTTGTGTAAGACTCTAAAGATCCAAACCAGTGCTTGGAAAACCAATGTAGAAAATACCGCAAGGGAATCATTATTGGCCCTTTGGGCTTCTGTCCCAACCGGACCATCTTCATGGTCAGCTCCGCTCAGAGCACTGTACAGATCGTTCATCTTTCAGCTTGGACATTAATTAATACCTGGCCCAAATAATAGTAAAACTCCATGCCTGAGAGGCGAATTCCAATTGGTTTGCATCGAATGTACAAGCATCAGTGATTACATTGCAAAATAAGCTGCTTTTTGTAGTCCAGATTTATCCCCAGCAGTGCAATACACACAGTCCCAAAGCACACGCTGTGCATTGCTACTTGCCCAAGGTAAATTGGAGATGCCGAAAATCAATATCTGGCCCCTGTGTCTCATCT